ATGTCATGATGACGTGGGGAGTTATTGCTGAGCTCCGGCTGGCAAATTTATTGAAAATGAAAGTAAACACAGGCAAGAAGGTTTGCTTTTTGAACAAAATCAGCTGAGATGGCAAACTGGAGCACCGCAGTGCTCCATGAGCCTCTCTGTTATAGCTGAAGCTCAGATCACCAGAGACTGCAAGGGACTGATGGGGAAAGACACCTTTAGGAGCTGCTTAACGAAAACTTAACCATCACGGCTTCAGTCGCAATAAAAAGCAAGTTATGTCCAAGACAAACGGAAGTCTGCGGCAGCGCGGAGACTGCCCCCGTACCCCCTTTATGTCGCCATCACCTAATCTTTTGTAAAATTGCCACGATTGCGCCACATTACTGCCACGGTCTGATCTTATAAACAACCTTTATCCTCCCCAGGGAGCTGTGGCAAATCCCGTTTTGCAAATGCTATGGTCCTGTAAAAACAGCTACTGACTTGCTCCAAACACTGACAGAGTGAGTCTAAAGGGCCACAGTCACTAGGTGATAGAGCTGGGTAGATCTGGGTGTCATCTGCATAACTATGATAGTTAATGTTTTTGTGTATGGCCTGACCCAGGGGGAGCATGTAGATATTGAAGAGCAGTGGTCCAAGAATTGAGCCTTGGGGAACCCCACATGTCATGATGATCAGCTTTGATTTGTGATCACCAATAGAAACAACATAACTCCTGTCTTCAAGATAAGACCAGAACCAACTATGGATTGTGCCTGAAAGTCCCACCCAGGTTATGAGCAACAAGAAGGATGTTGTGGTCCACGGTATCAAAAGCTGCAAGCATCATCAGGACAGATGTTTCTGCTGAATCTGTATTTAGATGAAAATCATTTAATACTTTAGTCAGTGCAGTCTCAGCCCTGTCCACACGTAGCCGGGGATCTGCCAAAACGTAGATATTTTTCCACATTTTGGCCTGTCATCCACACGAAAACGGAGTTTTTTCACACGAAAACGGATCTTTTTAAAAACTCCGGCCAAAGTGAAGATCTGCGTTTTCTCCGTTTTGGGTGTCTGCGTGTGGACGGACAAAACCGGAGTTTTAAGATCCGCAACGTCACGTTCCGTGACAAAAAATGCTGACATCACGTGTGCGACCTGTGTTTACACTAGCCGGCATCATGGAAGCCCTCAGAGCTGCGCTCTGTCACTACCCGATCCATCAATTGTCCAAGCGCTTTCTGCTTGTTTGTTTTTACAAGCAGAATTACTGCTCCTTGCGGAAGACCACAGACGAAGGACGAGGTTAAGAACGGGGGAAGTACTGCCACCTACAGGTCTGGCATGTCCTTAACAACGTATTTATCCGGGTACGTGTGGACAGTTTGTTTTTAAAACGCGGTGGTGTAGATGCAAGTTTTTGGAGGGGCGGATATTCGTTTTCAAAAAACCCCGGCTACGTGTGGACTAGGCCTCAGTCTAACGCCTGACTGGAAACTATCTAGCAGGTTGTTTGTTTCTAAAAGTTTTTCAACTGGATCAAAACTGCTGAGGTAGAGTGAGTTGTTCAGTAACAGGAAGGTTGCAGGTTCGATCCCGGCTCCCACCGAGAATGCTACTGTAGTGTCCTTGCAAGACACTTAACCCGCCTTGCCTGCTGGTGGTGCTCGGAGGGACCGGTGGCACCTGCGTGCGGCAGACTCGCCTCCGTCAGTGTGCCCCAGGGCAGTTGTGGCTACATCGTAGCTCATCTCCACCAGCGTGAGAATGGGTGAAAGATTGTGTTGTGAAGCACCTTGGGGGGTTGTAGAACCCTGAGAAGGCTCTATACAAATACATGCCATTTACCATTTTCAGTCATTTTCCCGATGACATTAGAGATTGGTCTGTAGTTGTCCATCACTAAGGGATCTCTTTTCGTCAGAAGAGGCTTAACAGCAGCAGTTTTCAGTGATTTAGGGAAAATACCTGACATTAAGGAGCAATTAACAAATTTCAGTTCATCAGCTTTCAAGCTAAAAACATTTACGGACGTTTGTTGGCAGGGTGTCCAGACAACAGGTAGATGAGTTTAAGGCCCTAACCATGTTCTCCAGTGTTTTAGACTAGATGAGGTGATTTTGTCTTGTTTGTAGAACAGATTAAAGGACATTTCCAGAACACGGGAAGCTTCAAAAGCACCACACCTTCTAAAGCAGGCATGTGCAAAGTGTGGCTCTTTGGTCTGATTGAGTTTGTTTGGCCTCCAGTTGCATTTCTAGAATTTGGTCTCTTCATCAGGTTGTGGATGTAGATCAATACTTTGAAAGGTTTTTTATGTTAATTTCCAATTAGATGATGCCTGTTTATCAGCAGTGCAGATGAAAATGAGAGGACTTTTACCTTTATGAATTTTCTCTTGTCTAAACCGATTGTGACAGCTCTGCTCTAAAGTCTCACCCCGGGTTTCCACGGGAGCCGTCAGCAGCACGTTACTGCAGCAGCACGTCTTGCTCGCATAAGCTGCTGCTTGGCCCTTCCCACGAGACGCGAAGCAGCAGGGGAGCAGCTGTCACCGACCGAGCACGAAGTCACACGAGTGACTTCGTCAGTAAACACAACAACAAGCAGGAGAAAACTACAACATGGCTCCAAAATGTTTGTGTTTTATGTTCTGTCCGTTTTATAATCGCCAATACGGACCTGAAAAACAAAGGAGACCGCTAGCTAGGTGATAACTTCTCACGGGGACACACAGTTAGTAACCTTTATTAAAAGTAAAGCAACCGGAAGGCAGTACGTTTCTTTATTCTGAAAATCTCGGGAGCTTCTCTCCATTTCCGCGTCCGATTTCCTGTCTTTCCTTCCCCAAAAATGTCGAACTTGACCCGTTTCAGAGGCGTCGCGCGTAGAAAATAGAACCGGCGCGTAAAGGCCGCGACATGCTGCTCCTGAGACGCGGCCGACTCGCGCTGCTGACGGCTCCAGTGGAAAAGGTTCTGTTGACCACAGCGGTTCCTATCAGCAGCTATGACGTGCTGCTGACGGCTCCTGTGGAAAGCCGGGATCAGGCTTTAAAGCTGCAATGATAAATCTGCAAAACAGCTTAGCTTAAAACCTTTTTTCCTATCTCTTAACAGCGTTGTAACATAGTGTAGCTATAAATATATTCTGGAGATTTTAAAAAATGAATAAAATGGTTCTCTCACATTGGTCTACCTCCATCAATAACACGTTTCAGACCAAAAGCAGCTATTGGACCATCCGGTTGTTGTTCTCACCGAACCTCCGCACTTCTCCGGGTCCTCCATTCGTAACGCACTTGTGAGAGGTTCTCTGCTCAACAACATCAGAGAAGGAGAAACAGCCGGCTGCTACCACTTCACCTTTAGTACGATCTACAAGAATCCCAAAGAGGAAAACATCGTTTGAAGTCACGGACAACATGAGACGTTTGGACCTAGAAAACGGCGACTGGTGTTTAGTGTTATCTCATTACGTACATTATGACACGGTACTATGAATGCAATACGATATGATAATAATAATAATAATACATTTGGTTTATAAAGCACTTTACATTTGAAAGTTAATTTAACCCGAAAGCTCTGGTAAAAAGATAAGTTTCAAGACCAGATTTAAAAGCACCAATAGTCTGTGGTATCCTCAGATGCCCTGGGAGGGAATTCCAAAGTCTGGGTGCAGCTGAGCAAAAAGCACAATCTCCCGTGGTGCGAAGTTTAGTCTTTGGAGTTTTCAAAAGATGTACTGATGCAGAGTGGAGGTTGCGTGTGAATGTCTGTGAAAACAGAAGTTCTTTAAGGTGGGGGGGTGGGGGCATCCCCATAAATACACTGGTGGGTGAGAAGGGCAACCTTGTAATCAATTCTAGATGAAACGGGGAGCCAGTGAAGAGATTTAAGAATGAGCATTATATGGTCATATTTGCGTCCTCTCCTCAAGATCCTAGCAGCACAGTTCTGAATATACTGCAGTTTTTGAAGGACTTTTTCCAGTAGTCCCAATGAGAAGTGCATTGCAGAAATCCAGCCTGGAGGAGACAAACACATGGACCAACTTTTCCACATCAGCAAACGTTAGTGCTGGACTGGACGCAGTTTTGCTATATTCCTGAGGTGGAAAAAAGACGTTTTACACAGATGCTTGACCTGGGCCTCATACGTCAAACTCGAGTCCATTTTAACCCCAAGGTTTATTACAGATGTTGACATGTGGGATATCCTGACCAGAAAAGGTAATACAGTTGATGTTAGATGGCCTAACCTGGTGTGGGATGCCTACTAAAATAGCTTCAGTCTTAGAGCTGTTTAGCTGCAGGAAATTTTGCTTCATCCATGACTTTATCTCCTCCAAATAGATGGTCAAAGTGGATGATGGCAGAGTAGACGAGGAGGTGGAATTTATCCTGAGAAAAAGCTGAGTATCATCAGCATAACAATGGAATAAAATACCACGATGGCCGATGATATGGCCCAGGGGAAGCATATATAATACAAACAAAATCGGACCAAGCACAGAGCCCTGAGGAACACCACAGGTGACATTGTGTATAGCAGATTTTGCCTCTCCCAGGGCAACATGCTCCGTTCTTTTAGTAAGATAAGATGAGAACCAATTGTAAACAGAGTCAGAGTCCAACAGTGTGACGCAATCTGTGAAGCAGAATGTTGTGGTCAGCAGTATCAAAGGCTGAGGACAGGTCCAGCAGGATGAGAAGCGATGGGAAACCAGCATCAGCTGACATCAGCAGGTCATTCGTAACTCTAACCAGAGCTGTTTCCACGCTGTGGCAGGAGTGGAAGCCAGACTGGAATTTCTCAAACAAATTGTTTGCTTCTAGATGAGACTGAAGCTGTGCAGCAATTACTTTTTCCAGTACTTTAGAAAGAAACGGGAGGTTAGAAATGGTAATTACAATGCAACAAGATACAGTATGATGCAACACACTACAATAAAATATGAATTGGCACAATATCGTGCAATATGATCAGGTCCAATAAAATGTTACTATCTAACGTAACTAGAACCTGGAGACCCTGAAGACCACATGCACCATGCTGGAGGAACAAGTCCTGGAGCTGGAGACCATGAACGATGAGCTGCTGGAGAAGGAGAGGCAGTGGGAGGCCTGGAGAGCCACACTGGAGGAGGAGAAGAGCCAGGCTGAGAGGAGGAGCAGGGAGCTGCAGAGGCTGCTGGACACTGAGAAACAGAACAGGTGAACATGGGCATGCATGTTACCATTTCACAGCTAATAAAAAAAAAAACTTCTACCAATTCATCTGTATTTTAGGAGGGATGCGCTCATTTTGGAGCAAATGCTATATTTTCTTTTGGTGTTATTGTTTTTAGCTCTGGTCCCTCCGCCTACACACTGAATGCAACAGGTTTGGGCGTATTCTCTCGGGGTGGTTGAGAGTTATTTTTGGAGACAGAATTCTTTTCTGACATAATGTAGGCAGCACAGAGCAGGGTGCCCTAAAAGCACTTTAGAGCATGCTGTATTTGTGTTTTCCATCAAGACCAAACCCCTTTATTCATCCAACAGAGAAAACATCAAAAAGTCTGAGAGAGTGTGATCTTAGCATCTCTTACAGGCTGAATATAGCAAAAAACATAACACCTTTGGTACTTCAGGCTTCGTGCGGATCAGCGCAACTCAGAGTCTCGCCAGGCTGTGGAACAGGCCGTCAAGGAGCACAAAGCTGAGATCCTGGCTCTGCAACAGACTCTCAAAGAGCAGAAACTCAAAGCCGAGAGCCTGGCGGATACAGTAAGGATTCCCACACTGCTAAAAAAGCATCAACCTTTTGTCTTATTGGTCACACCAGAGTTTGTCTGCTTTTGTTCCTCAGCTGAACGATCTGGAGAAGAAGCACTCCATGCTGGAGATGAACGCCCGCAGTCTGCAGCAGAAGCTAGAGAGTGAGAGGGATGTGAAGCAAAGACTGCTGGAAGAGGTACAGCCCTTTCAACAACGGTCCATGTAGTTGTGCTCTTTGCTAAATTCCTCTGACTTTGTTTTTGTTACAAGTGACTTAAGCACAAAAAACACTGTTAAAGTGTGCACTGGTGCTGAAAGCTTCCTCCATTTGTGCCGTTACTGTAAAGTGACAAGCACAGACCCAGCCTCCAAGCGGTGATGTAACAGCTGATCTCCTCTGCAGCAGGAGAAGCTGCAGCAGCAGCTGGATGCTCAGAAGACTCACATCTTCCGTCTGACCCAGGGGCTGCAGGATGCTTTGGACCAGACCGACTTACTGAAAACTGAGAGAACCGACCTGGAATACCAGCTGGAGAACATCCAGGTGCTTTTACACGTGTATGAAAGAGAAACAGCTGATATTTAAGCACGTACTAAGATCTGAAGATGTGAACGTCTCCAGTCAGACACCTGCTGAGTGTTTGTGTCGTTATCGGTCTTGTTTCTTTACCCCACACCTCCTTCACCCTCTCTGTCTGTCACCCTCTGTGTGAGGTGAAGTACTTGAGGAGAAATTCATGGCAGTAGTGATGTTCATTTAGCTCCACCTGCAGGCTGTATATTCTCATGAGAAGGTGAAAATGGAGGGAACCATCACCCAGCAGACAAAACTCATAGACTTCCTCCAGGCCCAGGCCCACGGTGGCTCCAAGAAGAAAAAAGTAAGACAAAAATAAAGAACTGAGCAGCATGTTTAATGTTATTACAGGTGAATAAAGATCAGAAGTCCCAGCGCTGAGTGGTTTTGGTGTCTTGTGCATCTTTCAGGGTCTTTTTGGGCGTCGGCGAGAGGACCTGTTGGCTGCCATGACCGCTCAGGCCCAGACCCAGGGCCAGACTCCAGGTCAAGGCCAAGTTTCTCCAGTTCCCCCGATCCAGCCAGTGCCTCTGCAGTACAGTGACATGAAGACCGCTCTGGATAAAGAGCGCGCTCGCTGCTCTGAGCTGGAAGATGCTCTGCTGAAGATGCGAGCAGAGCTGCGATCCCTGAGGGAAGAAGGTGAGAGAGCAACGTTTCCCTTCTGTTTTATAAATAAATATGATCAGATGTATTATTATAAAAGGTTAAAGCAACATTTTATTGATTAGAAATGATGTTCTCCACTCAGCCTCACCGCAGAAACAAACGTCTCCTTTTATCAGGAGGGGGAGACCATTGACTCAGATTTAAAAACAAACGTCCTTAAAGTTTGGAAAAGACCGGATTAAAGGTCTGATTTAATCTCTAAACAGTATAATCTAACTAGGCATTGGCCCAAATGAGATTTAGATGGTGTGAAAACTTATGGTTTAACAGTTTTGCAGATTGACAAGACATTAGTTAAAATGTAATAAAGAATAAAAAAAACATTAAAATTGTTTTAAAGAATTTGCCAGAATTAAACAAAACACGTGTTATTCTAATAATTTATTTTAAATGACATGAGCCATTTATTTACACAGAAAGACTAAATCGGGCTGTTTTACACACCCCTCTGAACATCTGTAAACAATAATGAAGGAAACTTGATGACCAGCACGCTGACCTTCTCAGCTGGTTGCAAATGCTGTTGTTTGAATTTAGCATCTTCATTTGAGCATCCGTTAGCATCATAATCCATGTTAAATATAATCTGAAACAACAGACCAGGGGCCTCGTTTATCAAGCTTGCTTACGCACAAAACGGGGTCGGAAAACTGCGTCAGCAACTTTCCACGCAAACTTTGGGATTCATGAAAAAACCTTGGAGGAAAAATGTGCGCAACTATAAGATGACTAAGGACCTGGCTTACACACATGCTGGACATGGAGAGCACCTGCAGTGCTGCTGCTGAGAAGATACAATTATGAAATCCTGCAACATTATCACTTGTACTGGTTCGTTTTCACACAGAACAAGACCTCCCACACGCACACACATGCGCACATACACACACATGCGCACACATTCACACACACGCGCACGCACACATACATACACATACATACACACACACACACAGCCTGAAGCGCAGAATACGGAATGCAGAATATCAGCAGGGGGACAGATTGAGACAGAATGTCATGCGTCTGTGACAGTGTGTGAGTGTCCTGTCACTGTGACTTGATTGATCATGCGCCCTGGCTACTTGGACAAGGGAGATCTCCATTTGGATGACTGGTTAGCGTGCGTGACGCTCACCCGGGAGTCTGGGGATCGAATCCTGATTGGATCATTTTTTTATATCCGCCACAGATCTCTCTGAAGAACTCACAGCATTGACAGCTTCAGCAACGCTGTGCCACTCCGTGGATTTTCTCTTGTTTTGCAAAAGCACTTCCTTTCATTTCTCCACCTCACCCACAAGTACCGCAATTTCTGCTTCTGTGAAATTGAGCTTCCTTGATCTGCCTTGATCTACGGTCGCCATCGTCACTCGCGGAGCGCTGCAACAGCCGGCTTATGTTTATGCATGAGATCCATAAGGCACTTTGCATTGACCATTTATGGCAGTAAGTGGGCGTGGTGAGGGTGGGATGTGACTAAAACGCAGCTGAGAAACTTTCTCGTTAGTCTCTGATTTATGAAGCGGAGATTGCGTGCAGCTGTGCGTACTCCATGTTTGATAGATCACAAACCTACTTGGCGTAAGTACTTTTTTTTTTGCTGAGCTTAAGTACGGTCTTAGTAAGGATTCTACGCAATGTTTGATAAATGAGACCCACGGTTTTACTTACACGCTAGAACCCTTTCACTGTTGTAGCAATTATGACATATTAATGATGACCAACAAGATGTGATGTTTCCATATAAATATGAAAAATCAATCTGATTGATCTTTGAATGTTTTATCAGAAGATTCTAGGGTTCTTTGCTCCTTTAGGGACCATAGACACACTTGTATTAATTCAGACAGAGTCAGTATATAGTTTATAAAATGAATTTAATTATTTTTCCTAAACTACATGACAAGATATGAATAATGAGACGTGATGTGGTGGATGTGAGGTGATGTGATGGAAGCTAGACGTTGTAGCAACCGTTCTTTATATCTGAGAGAAATTGTGAAATCTGGCTGTAAAATAATTTGTTGTTTGATTCTAAACTAGAGAGTTGTTTATTAAAAACAGCATCAGATGCAATCTGTCGTGCCAAGCCTACGCACCTTTGGTGTGGAGGTTCTCGTTTGATCCGGGGGGTCGATAGTCACTGCAGGTGATATCAGGAACCCGTAGATAGTTCCGGTAGGACCCGTCCAGTCTGAGATCCCTCGTGGTGAAGGCAGGAAGCTGGAATGCTTATTTGCATCTAAGGTTGATGTTTGCTTGTCTCTTAGAAGAGTCGGTTGTCTGGTATCAGCCGCAGCGTTGCAGAGAGGCTTTGACTTAAGGTCAAAAGAGATGCTTCTTTCCCGATTTGGCCGAATCGGAGTTCAGCTGGCAACTAAATTAATCGGGAAGTTAATCCGGTTTTATTAAACCACAATCTTATGAGTTCTGGTGAATTCTGGCAAATCCTAATTTGACAAGTTTCTGAGTATTTACCAACATCCCTCGGAAAGCCACTCCTCCCTTCAGATACAAAATTCTTAATTCTGTGAATAAAGGATGGCTTAAAACACTTATGTGAGGTGAGCGTTAACCTTAGCATGTGTCTTATTGTAACGTGTATGAGTGTAAACAACGATTAACTTGTTAAATCAAACACATAGTGATTTGTGACATATGTGGATCATTGTAAGAACAATATTTATTTCAAATTCATTGATTTAAGCGCAGATTCAGTGGCGTGTCCAGATCTTTTAAAATGGGGTGGCCCAGGTGAGGCACAACTTTGAGCATGGGTGGCACCAATGGTTATGCTTTTTTTGTTTTACCCCCAAGCCTTTGTGGACAATGAAAAGCTTATTTAAAGGTAAATTAGTGTGGTGGCACCTGGGGTGGCCAATCAGATTCCAAGGGTGGCATGTGCTACCCCAGGCCACTCCCTGAACACACCCCTGTACAGATTATTCAAACATTTGATGTAAACATCTTGTTCATTCATCACAGATTATTTAACTTATAACTGTAACATCATGGAGTCGTCACTCGTTCGGAGTGAAGAATGTTGACGTCTGGTTTTCACGCAGAGAGCGTAGGACTTGGGAGGGAATGTTTGTTTGAATGTTTTGTCTTCATGGAATGTCAACATGTGCTGAACAGAACCTTCTGGTTCTGGAAGGCCAAATAGAAAGTGGATTTCTGCTGTAGATAAAAGGTTATTATGCTGATCAATATATAGATGAGAATTTACCCTTTTGGACGTTACACTGTGATGTGAGAACTCTACATACCCATAAGACAGCAATGCAGGTTCATTTAACGATTCCAAACTCAGCTCTCCAGTATAAGGATCACGGCAGCACTACAAACCCACCAGCAGCACGGCAGCAGATCATCATGTCTGCCATGGTGAAGTCTCCTGAGCACCAGCAGGGCCCGACCAGCCTGGCACCATCCAACTCTGGACGTAGGAAGGATACCCCGACACCTGAAGGTGAGTGGAACAGGACGTCTGCAGCCGTTCCCACCACAGCACACTTAAATAGAAGCTATTTAGCATAAACCTGACTCTGCTGTTCCTTACCAGCACATACACACCCCTGCTGTCTCGCAGAATCACTTATGAAGCTCTTATTACTCTTTTTTACACACCTTTCAGAGAGAAGGAGGGTCACTTTTGAAAGTAAGTTGTCCAAAGCTGTGATTTTTTTTATTTCTGCTCTTTCCGCAACCTTCGCATCTTTGGCAGGCCAGATTTTAAAAGCTCTGCACTTCTTTTCAAACCTCAGGTCCCACATCACGTGTGTCAGATCAAGACCTTGGTGCAAAGCTTTAGAAAATCTGCAGCATTTTGACCTTAGTTGCTGCTGCCCAGTCTCATTTGCAGAACCTTGCTATGTTATAATCCTGAACTTCTCATCATACAGAAATGCACCATGTGATAAACTCTGCAACGTACAAAGCCCTTTGAACTAAAGGTATTATCCAGTAGTGTGTTGCTTACTGGTTAGATGCATTCAAGCCTGGGTGGGCTCCATCCATGTCACTGTAACTCAGTACTCAACTTAAACTACATACGTCTGTAGTAGAGATGTAACCGTAGAATTATATAAATGCTCTCCTCTGCTGTCTGAGTTGGAGTTTGTGTGAGAGGACCAGTGTTGGTAAAGTTACTTTTGAAAAGTTAGTTGTTATAGTTACTATAAGGAGTTCTGTAAAAAAACAAATTGAGTTAGTTTCTGTGTTACAAAATTGTAACATAACTAATTACCAGGAAAGGTAATTTTTTTCCACAAAAGAATTTGGATCACCTCTTAAAAGAACTTACCACGTTTACCTTAAATTACTACAGTTCAATTCAAAAATACTTTATTAATTCCAGAGGGAAATTGATTGATGTAGTAGCTCAGAATAATAATAATAATCAAGTCGTCAAAGAGTAAGAGTAAATTACAATGCATGTAAAATGCATACAGTACTCAAATATAAGTTACTAAATAGACATGAACATCATAATAAGTCCAATTGTCCTCACATGGGAAGTCCCGCGGTCTGGTTGAGAAGAGTACGGCTGCAGACCCGGAGACCACAGAGCGGATTCAGCTGCAGCAGTGAATCTGCTCCGTGGTCTCCGGGTCTGCAGCCGTCTGTTGTTGGTCATGTCTTCCTCGCTGCTCGCCGGCCACAGTGCACGTGGAGGTAAACGTCCGCTCCTTCAGCTCCGATCAGACGATGGTAGCTTCAACACACCTTGCTGCTGAAAATATAGTAACATACATGTAGTAACATTAGTTGTAAATAAACATTGAAAAAGAACTTTCTGAGTTTCAGTTTACTTTTTTATAGTGAGACCTTCTCTCCACTCTGCTGCCTGTTACCTCACCTTGTTGAATTTTTTATCAGTAATGGAAACTGTGTCGTAATGATGGCAAAAGTCATTGATTTGATTACATGTTACAAAAAACAATTCTGTTAATAATGCCGTTACTTTAATGTCGTTATTCCCATCACTGGAGAACACAAAGTAGCAGGGTGAGGTAAAAATTGGAGTAGGGTGTGGTGGTAAGGTGAGGTAGCAAGGAGCGGGGTTAGGTAAAAGGCTGGAGGGTGAGGGTGGGCAGTAGGGTTCTGTAAAAGCAACAGGGTGAGGTCATAGACCTCAGGGTGAGGTCATAGGCAACAGGGTGAGGTCATAGACATCAGGGTGAGGTTATAGGCAACAGGGTGAGGTCATAGACATCAGTGTGAGGTTATAGGCAACATGGTGAGGTCTTACACATCAGGGTGAGGCCATAGACATCAGGATGAGGTCATAGGCAACAGGGTGAGGTCATAGACATCAGGGTGAGGTTATAGGCAACAGGGTGAGGCCATAGACATCAGGGTGAGGTCATAGGCTTTAGGGTGAGGTCTTATACATCAGGGTGAGGTCATAGGCTTTAGGGTGAGGTCTTATACATCAGGGTGAGATCATAGGCAACAGGGTGAGGTCATAGGCAACAGGGTGAGGTCATAGACATCAGGGTGAGGTCATAGGCAACAGGGTGAGGTCATAGACATCAGGGTGAGGTCATAGGCAACAGGGTGAGGTCATAGACATCAGGGTGAGGTCATAGGCAACAGGGTGAGGTCATAAGCAACAGGGTGGTGTAAAAGTGTTATTATAAAAAGGAAATTGAAACTGAAAAGGTTCTCAATTAATGTTTATCTACAGTTACCACTACTGACCCCAACACGTTGTTGGGACATCCCTTTATTTGTTAAAGGAATGGGGTTTTTAATTCAAACTAACGCAAAGATATTATGTTTATTAGGTGATGAGGTCCTAATTTTATTTTAGGGTAATAAAGGCATATTAATGAAAGTGGGGTTATCCAAACATGCATTCAGTACAAATTTAAGTGCGATAAATTGTAAATGGCCTAAATTTGATATAGCACATTCTAGGGTTCTACAACCCCCCAAAGCACTTTACCCCCACACACAAATATGATTCAGTCAGCTGTATTATTATAACCACTGGTTTATAATTATGGGATTCGTCCCAGGTTTGCTTTTTATGTTTGACCTTCGTTTTATCAGGATAACTCTCGGTTGGATTTAAAGGAGACATAACATGCTTTTAAGTTATTCCTTTTTACATCTGAATCCTTCAGTTGGGGGTCTAAATACAGTGGAACTGCAGTTCTTTGGTCTGATTTCCTCATTATTGTTGCTCTACAGACCCTCATCTACCCCTGTTCTGAGGAGAGTCTTGAGAACGAGCCGTTTTGGGGTACTGTCTCTTTAAACTGGAGGAGCTGTAAACTCCGCCCCTCCTCCATAGTGCAGACCTGTACTCTCCTCCCCCAGTCGGACTTTGTAGTTCTATAGAGAAATCATTATTTAGCATAGCAGATTTAGCATAGCATATTAGCATTTTTAAAACATGTGGGGAGAGTAGTTCATCAAGCTGTTTCAAGGCTGCTAACTCTCTCATGCATTTGTCTGTAGTCACTCACACACACCCGTCACGGCCGACGGAGGGACAAGCGAGCAGGCGCGCACACACACACACACACACACACAGAGACAAGGAATGCTGCTTGCTTATTTCTATAAAAATGTTTTAAAAAATGATACAGCTCATTAAAACACCATTAAAACAATATATTTTATTAAGATCTCTATCTATATATATATATATATATATATATATATATATATATATATATATATATATATATACATACATAGAATTTTATAAGTAGTCTTATTTTATATTGGGTGTCTTAATGGCTGAAAATGGATAAAAAGCAGTTACATTTTAATTTAAAGATTTGAGATTCGAGTCAAAAATAAAGAACATTCCTCCAAATGTTCTTTAATGTGATCATTATAATTCTAATGCTTACAACTTTGTTTTTATTGTCTGCAATGCGTTGCCTATATCTTTATTAAATGTGTTTAGCTGTAAAGTGGTAATTCTCTCTAATGTGTACAGAGAGGTGGACATCAGTGCTGCAGTGAAATTCCCAAGATCAGTCTGCTTTGCTAACAAATATAGTTAAATCTTACCTGCATTCTAAATAAATACCGTTAGGTGAAAACATCAGTAGGCATTGAGTTATTGATACAATCCCTAACAGCCAGAATGGAAGAAGAGCATGCTGGGTCATCCTGGATCTGAGCCTGTTCTGTGTATTTACCTACAGGATGCAATAAATGTCTACAAGGCTGAGTTTGGACCATTACATCTAAAAGAAAACATACAATCAGTGATTTTTTTATTGTTTACATTAATATACAAATTTTCTAAGTATTAACCTCACAGCAAATGAGTAGAACTATATAATAAACTGGCTTTAGTAGTTAAACAGGCGTTGTGCACACAGGTGCTTTGTGTCCCGGTGCTGGTGGTGTCTAGGTCTCAGAGTTCCTGTCCTCCTGCCGTCTTCTGTTGTCCTCAGGATACGGATTGATGTTTCCTGATGATGAGGGAGGGACAGTATGTGGGCTTCAAACTGGTCCTGGATAACAGTGGGAGACCTCCGTTGTCTGAATACTGAGACCAGAGAGTTGGTGAGATGCAGATCTTCTCTACCTCATCTAGAAACGGAGTTGGTTCAGGGAAAACTTTTCCAAAGACCAGTTCCATGATGTCATCGCCATATTCTGCAATGATAGACGATAACTTTAATGACATATTTTGTTTACAAGCAGCTTTAGGAAAGTTGTTTCTTTAGCTTTCATGTTTATAGTCACGTTTGTGTTGCTGCAGTGACTTCATATTCTTACAAATGTAATAAAATAGTGACACTAAAATTATACAAATGATTCCTTATGAAAGGAAGCTCATTAGAGAGCAGTGCAGACAGACTTACTACATGCTGCAGCTGTTTTTGTAGGCCAGCTGCTGCTGAATTTGGGGAAAGTTATTCTGCACACATCCAGATCAGATGGTCGATTACAGAAAATAATGTAATTCAATAATTTCTAAACAGACTAAACAAGTAAAACATCAAATAAATCACTCTGCTGTCATCAGACGGAGTGATTCAGGGGGTGAGGTGTTCTTAATGATGAGGGTGGCTGAGGTGTGTCAATACTCACTTTGGTCTGGTCCAGCTACCATCTCTTTACTGGTGGGTCTCCTTCCTCCGTAGGTGACGTGAAACGCCAACATCTGAACGTTCTGTGTTCCTTAGAGGAGAAGAAAAGTAACATTTGCAAGCTGGCTAAATTATTTTTACTAGCATCTCAAGGACTTGGAGAAGCAGATCTTCACTTACCTAAACATCAGACCAGTTTGTCCCAGCTGAGCTCATTAGGGCGTTAGTCTGACAGCCTGTCAGTGAAACACGGCTCCAGACTTCTGGATGTGGACTCTAAAAAGCAAAGGAGCATTTTTACTTTTGTTTTAATTATTTTACAGCCGATTTTATCAGCTTTCTGACGCTCACGCTCATACAGACGGTGAGCTTCGCTGCGTCTGACTGATGCAGAGTTCGTTTTTATATCTGCAGTGAGACAAAAAACTAACCTCACTTCACACAGAGATCGTTCTTTAAAACTCTATTAAATCCACTGTGTTGACGCACTTTAATGACTTTGTCACGCTGCATTTTAGCTGATATGGGACTTTATTTACTGGATGCTAAGATTACATCACACTCACGTAGAATAACACACAGACTCTCTGCTGTTACAATCAGTGGGAGGTTATCATCTGGTGTAAAAGAAGGCGTTGATCAGAAATCACGTTTTATTCCACGAAAATCAGCCAAATCCACATTAATCTGGGTGCTAACTTTACTAGCATACTGTGCTAGCGATAGCAAGCCGGATGCTAACGCTTTAGTGCTGCTAATGCCCGTAAATCTAAAGTAAAGTTTGTCGACATTTTAGAGTGATATGAAGCTTACCGCTCTGCTGCTGTGTCCCGGTGCTGCCACATTCAGATGGAAATGACTCCTTTTAGATAGATGAAGCCCTCAGTACTTACTAGCCTGGAGACAGAACGAACGAACCGCACGCGCGCACGCACGCACACACGCACACACACACACACACACACACACAAACAAACACAAACACTACTTTTTCTTCTGTGTTTTTTTTAGCAGTAGTGTCATCAGCTCCTGGGTTTAAATCCTGGGTGTATATGTACAGTCTATGGTTTAAATACTGCCACACCACCCTTCCTTAAAACGAGGAACAGTTTTGAGCTGTGTGTGGCTAAAATAACCAGACATTCTGCATTTTTCCAATAGGACTACAAAAAATCTTAGCGAGAAGAAAAAATGGCGGATTGGCTCTGTGTTTAGCCGAGGGCCATTACCATATTTGGTAGTTATCCTGACGAAATAAATTACCGATGTAATAGATAATGTGAAAAACTGAACGGGTGGACAAATATGCCCAAAACTTAATTATTAAATATCTAAATAGCAACTCCAGTGAATAATATAAGCCTTTTTGCTCACTTAGACACTTAAAATGTGAAACACACTGTGTTAATGGATAAAAAAGTGGGTTTTTCATGTTATGTCTCCTTTAAACTTTTGGAATTTGAGGGAACAGCTGGAACCGTTTGCTTCATTCCTTAAACCATTTCTGAACCATGTTTGCATCATGGACAGGTGTATTTTGTTGCCCTTGAGGAGGTGGTGATTAGGATGTTACTGTGGTCAAATCTGCACGATTACCCAACAATATAAAACAAATCATTTTAAGCTGAACGAAGGACTGTGCGACACATTTTTGTGCATTTAGCTTATTATCTGCAACTTTTTTAGCAGATGCAAACCTCTGTACAACTACAAAAATGTCTTTGTTACATCTACTTAATTAAATTGTTCTTGACTTGCAGCATCACTCATTCATATCTTGTGGCATTAATAATAATCTGCAGCAAAACTACCAATCAGATTTCCTTCCAACTGGATAATACCTTTAATGCAGCAGTGGGCCAACACAAGTAAAGAGATTGATGAAATCAGTATTTTATTTTTCCACACATGCATTTTGCTCAACGCCTCCCAGTTCCTTCTTGTAGCATGATGCCCTGGGTGAGGCTGACCGAGTGCTGCCGTCCTCACCCTAACCCTAACCCTGTCTCCATTTAGAGTACAGCCGCCGTCTGAAGGACAGCCAGAGGGACAGAGACAGAGAGAGGGTGCTGCACCACAACACCTCTCACCGCTTCACAGTGGGTCTCAACATGAGAGCTGCCAAGTGCACCGTGTGTCTGGACACGGTTCACTTTGGTCGTCAAGCAGCAACCTGCCTCGGTGAGTCACAGAGCTGCAGACCCAACCCAGACGGTGAACCATCATCTGACACCTGAGCAGATTCCTGGACGTCTGATCTCTCCTGACCAGACAAAACCAAACTTTTTTTCATGAAGTGGAGTTTTCCTGCTGCTTGAACTGAACACTAACAGTTTGAACTGTTTCTTTCTCTGCTCTTGACTTGTCTCCTCAGAGTGCCACGCTCTGTGCCACCCAAAGTGCTCGGCCTACCTTCCAGCCACATGCGGCATGTCCAGCGACTGCTCCCTGCATCTGTCTGAGGGATTGTGTCGAGACAAAGGCAGCTCTCCAGGCCAACAGCTCAGAGAGGCCGGAGGACACATGCACCTTGAGGGTTGGATGAAACAGCCCAGGTTAGCTGTAAACACACTAACTAACTCTCATCATGCATGCTAACTACCCACAACATGACAGCATGGTGTTCCAGGCCGATATTGACGGTTTTTAATATGTCGTTATCGGCCGACACTCGTCCTAAGTAAAGCTGGTTTAAAGTCAGGCACATCCTCAGGCATCCCAGTGCTGTTGCGGAATTTAATTTAAAGGAATTTTTACGTTCACTAATAACATGCATAATAAATACTTTGGTGTCTGACTTTAACACTGAGCAGTGCACAAAGAAAAGATTCAGCAGTTGGTTAAATTCAGAGTCCAAAGACTGAGTCAGCTTCAGAACTTTTGTGCATCAGCTGATGTTATCAGTGACATTTTAGCATGAAAATAAGGTGGAACGTGTTTAGATATCACACATGAATACTGGCCAGTAAAAACTGGCAGTACATATCGGCCATCGGCTGACCATGTGTCCTACATGTCGGCAACAGAGAAACCAAAATCGGTCAACCTCTAATTCAGACTCTACACGGATGTTTGCTGTTGCTGCCCATCTGATGGCGACCGCATTTGCAACTAAAACCATTCAAACCATTAAAAAAGGGACTGTAATGTAATTGTCTTGTTTGCTGGCAGGAATGGAAAACGAGGCCAGGGCTGGGAGAGAAAATACGTTGTCTTGGATGGATTCAAAGTGTCAGTCTATGAGATAGAGCCCAGAGAAGGTGCCACTTAAAGTTGCTCCAAGATCCACCAGCGGTGTCTGATCTCCACCAACGCTCCTCTGTGGTTTCTGTTCTTAGACTCGGTCAAGCCGCTGGAGGAGTTTGACCTGTGTCTGTCTGATGGAGAGGTGGTGGTTCATGGAGCAGTGGGAGCATCGGAGCTTCCAAACACAGCTAAGTCCGGTGGGCTCAAAGGGTTTTGGCGTCCAGATGTTGGCAGAAAGGGTGAAACTACATGACGGTGAGATGATTTGTGAGGTTTTGGTTTTTTTGCCAGATGTTCCCTATGTGTTGAAGCTGGAGTCCCGCTGTCACACCCCCTGCTGGCCTGGTCAGTTCATCTACTTCATGGCCCCCAGTTTTCCAGACAAGCAGCGCTGGGTGGGTGTGATGGAGTCCGTGGTGACCGGGGGGCGAGCCTCACGGGAGAAGGCAGAGGCAGACGCAGTGAGTATTTCTGTAATGGACACCTGGGAAGCGGGCCTCCTGCTGACATGAACCATAACACCGATTCTGAGCCTTTAGCTGTCTCTGTCAGCGTTAGAAAGTTCACCTGAATGAGTCGATAACTGTCTCCTGTTTTCTCTTCCTCTCTCCCATCTCCATTTGTTGCTTTTTCATCTGTCTGGTGTTCGGGCTTGTTTTGTTCATTGGCTTTATTCTGCTGGTACAATTGGGTTTCTTTAATGAAGGCTGCTGTGCCCAAAAGACAAAGGGTTCTGTCTCCCCTGGTCCAGGTAAAGACCTACCTAGATGCAGAGATGAGCTCATGCACACACTGATTGTTCCTGATGCACTCGTTAATGCATGAGTCTGTTGTGTAGCTCACTCCTTCCTCCTCACCTGCTGCAGCTCCTCCCCCTCACTCCTTCCTCCTCGTCTCCATACTACACAAAGTTGGATGTTTGCTGACGTATTTCTTTCAATTTTTAGTAACTATAATTTAAAGGGGATATATCATGAAAAACTCACCTTTTGGATCTTTTTGAGCCGCCGTGCAGACCTCTGCTACCTCTAGAGACACACCAAACATGGGGGAGAAAAATGTTCATCCATTTTCTGCGAGTTGCTGGTTTGAGGAATTATGTGTCTAAAACACGCCCAAAAGTCCCGTTTGTGATGTCACAATAGGGAAAATTAGCATCAGCTTCAATTCAAGCCCCTCGTAGATATCGGAACTTGTAGCCTATTGGCCCTTTGCACCTCTGTCTCCTGAACAGTGTTTACAGATGTTAGCTAGCTGATACCGACCCTTACATTTTCCCTGCTGATGTGTTCACCTTTTTCATGTTGTTGCCTTTGCCAAAATTCACCCAGCATCATTTATTAACAGTGTTTCACTTTACCCTGTAGCTGGTATACCTAAAAAAATCCAGATCCCTACCAGGGTTAGTTGCTGGTTGGGTCACCAGGACCAGCTGCTACTGTCATGGGGGGGGGGGGGGGGGGGGCAAGATAACTCATAATGACAAATCTCATCATGCTAATTAAATGTAATCTTAACACATTCAATCCTACGTTGGCACAAAACTGTTAGTCTCCTGAATTTGTAAAAAACATCTGCCACTGTAGAATATAAGATTATCAATTTTAAATAAATAATATAAATGCATTTCAGGTCCATCACAGTTAATTCAATTCAAGTTTATTTATATAGCGCCAAATCACGACAAGAGTCGTCTCAAGGCACTTCACTCAGTAAACATTCCAATACAGGTCAGTTCATTAAGCCAATCAGTAAAAAGTGTCCTATATACGGAACCCAGAAAATTGCATCGAGTCACTGACTAGTGTCAGAGTCTTTACAGAAATCCTCATACTAAGCAAGCATTTAGCGACAGTGGAGAGGAAAACTCCTTTTTAACAGGAAGAAACCTCCAGAGAATCCTGGATCAGTATAAGCAGCCATCCTCCACGAGTCACTGGGGATCGAGAAGACAGAGCAGGCGCATGCATACACCAACACCACCCACCGATACACACACACATCCACACATACATCCGCACACACAACATACACCTAGTAATGTTTCTATGGTTACATTCAATGTCAAAGAAAGTAAAATGTTATTATCAGGAGAGGGAGAATGTTTAGTTAGTCCCTGTCAGCTCATGATATACACAAATGTTAATCTTACCCATTAAAAAGTGTTGCAGTCATTTTGATTGACAGCTACTGTCCATCGCCGTCTTCTGTCTCCTAGCAAAACTGTACAGCGAAGTGTTGCTGCTTATCTAAAAGCAATACGAGGCTACTAGCTTGTTTTGGACCAGCTTTACATGAGTTCTAGTGCACACGAATAGTTCATATGGTGTCCGTCAAGGTGGAGGTGGTGTTCTCATGAGCATGACATCACATGCAAAGGGTCAAAAGCAGCCTGAGCGGGGGATGGGTGGGCGTGGCCAGCTAAGAGCCCTGAAACGGCTCATTCTGGAAGGTACTGAAAATGTTAAGAACAGAGCCGGTGAGACAGATTTATGTTTGATGGATTCAATGCAAAAGCTTCGTGAGCATGCTGTCTATAAACAACAGATCTATCACAACTTAAACAAGTCTTAATATGCCTCCTCTGAAATGACTTGTTAAGGTGTCGGGTTAAATCTGGGTCCAGAGGATCAGGGGCCAGGATGCAGGTTTACCCTGATGCTCCTCTACACACCCTTCAGACTGGAGCACACATTAGTACTCTGATACTGCTGAGACAAAGGAGCGAACATAAGGTTATGTGATTCTTTGTTTGGCAATAAAGAGAAAATGATGATAAAATCAAGATTCATCTTAAATCACATGGTATTGTTTTCAGATGTATTTCAGGTCAAAGGTCAGACAGACAGGAGATGGTCCATGTCTGTTGTAAATGACGTGTTGGTTGGCATCTTCAGCATGGACAAACTCAGGAATCATAACACCTTCATCTCACCATCACGTTACACCATCGGTAATGAAAGACATAAATGTGTCTCCAGAATCATGGAGGAACATTTTCCTACCTGAGAAGCCTCTTGATTGTTTATTTTACTTACCTTTCGGGCTGTGGATTCATAGGATCTGAACTTTTTGAAGACGACTTTCTGGTTTCAGTCTAACGTTTTTGCCATCTGAAAACTAAAACATAAGAGGAAGTCAAAAGGGTTCACGGATGGAAGATTTTTAATATTTTAGGCTGAAGTATAAAAGTTTCAGTAGCTTTCCCAGCTGTGGCGAAGACATTTCAGGTGTTGGTGCATAAAAGCCTTTTCATGGCTTGTGGTGTGACAGCAGCAGGCTGGACTGGAGCCTCGGCCAGCAGCAAAACTCCGTCTGTTATCTTTATCTCTGGTTTTCTCTTCAGAAACTGCTGAATAAAACTCGAATGTGAACACTTTACAAACGTCTCCCCTGGATGTTAGTTTAGATATGATATATATAACCATTGTTGTCAAATAGAAAAAGTGAGTTAAATTCATTTAATTTTGATGTGTTTTTATTTGTTTTGTTAAAAGAATCCATGAGGAGCATCCTAACAATAAAAATCAAGTTTCTATTTGGGTTCTCAGGAAAATCTTGTCATCCTGTAAGTTAAAAACTGTATTTTATGTGTTTATCAGACCAGAACAGAAACATGAGGACGACCTCTGACCCCGTGGACCTGCTCCCCCACCCCCCACCCCACCCTGTCCTGGTCCTCTGCTGTCTCCACCTGAGGTCTCCATGGATCTCCCGCTGATCTCTCATCTCTGTCTGCTTTTTCAGAAGTTGCTTGGAAATTCTCTGCTGAAACTGGAAGGAGATGACAGGCTGGACATTAACTGTACCCTTCCTCTCACTGATCAGGTACCACCCAGGATAAAATGGAACCTCAGTAGCAGGTTTTTCTGAGGAGGGAAGAGCTCAAAGCTTCACCTGAATAACTCACTTTAGTTTAATCTCTGTGTGTTTTGTGTCAGATTGTTCTGGTGGGATCTGAAGAGGGCCTGTATGCACTGAACGTCATCAAGAACTCGCTGACTCACATCCCTGGTCTAGGCTCGGTTTTTCAGATCCAAATCATCAAAGAGCAGGAAAAACTGCTAATGATTGTTGGTAGGGTGCCCAGACCTGTCGTTGTCTGTCAGAGGGGACATGTTCAGGGATCTGCTCAGGGCTGAACAGGCTACACGCTCTTGCTAACATTACAGGTTACAAACAATTAACTAATCAATGTGACTTTTTTACAACACCAGTGAAATATGTTTGGTCCAGTGTAGCAGGACTAGTAGTCAGCACGGAGGTGGAGCGATGATGGTTTGGGCTTGCTCTCCAACCACAAGAATGTCTGGTACCACTTTACATTAAGGCTCCTCTCACAGATGATTCATAGTTTATAGATATGTTATTAGGGGGCGACAGCGGCTCAGGGGCAAGGAGCTCACCCTATAGCCGGTGTTGCAGGTCCAAACCCAGACTTCCTCAGTCATGTCAGTTGCGTGTCCTTGGGCAAGTCACTTAACCCACAGTGCCTGCTGGTGGTGGTTGGAGGGACCGGTGGTGTCTGTGCATGGCAGCCTCGCCTCTCTCAGCGTGCCCCAGGATAGCTGCAGCTCATCACCATCAGTGTGTGAATGAGTCACTGTAGAGTAAAGAGCTTTGGAGTCCTCTGACTCCAAAATGCACTATACTATACAAGTACAGGTGATTTACTAATCAATCTGTTACTTTATAAATCATTCAAATGTATTTATTATGCATTAAAGCAGAAATCTGTTTGAACATGTTGTAGGGATCAAAGGAACGGCGCTAGGCTGGTTTAAATCCTACCTGTCTGACAGATTTCATTTTGTAAACGTACATGACAAATCTTCTTCATACTCCAGGGTTGCTTGTGGAGTACCACAGGGTTCAGTGCTTGGACCAATTCTTTTTACTATATATATGCTCCCAATTGGTAAAACCATTAGACAGCCTGGGATAAACTTCCACTGTTATGCTGATGATACTCATATCTATCCATTAACCCTGATGAACCTAATCAGTTAGGTAGATTACAGGCTTGTCTTGTGGACATAAAAAATTAGATGACTCTAAACTTTCTGCCTTTAAATCAAGACAAGACTGAAGTTCTCATCTTTGGACCCGAAATCCAGAAAAGGAAATTGCTTAGTCAATCACCTGACCAGAACAGCATTAAATTAGCCCCCGAGAACAAAGTAAGGAACCTTGGTGTTGTCTTCGACCAGGACATGTCATTCAAATCCCACATTAAACAGGTTTGTAGGATTTCCTTTTTCCACCTTCGGAATATTGCTAAGATTAGAAGCATCCTTTCCAGGAGTGATGCTGAAAAACTATTTCATGCATTTATTACATCAAGACTGAATTACTGTAATTCATTACTCTCAGGAAGTCCACAGAATGTAGTTAAAAGTCTTCAGCTTGTCCAAAATGCTGCAGCTAGAGTTCTGATGAGAATTAAAAAGAGAGATCATATCTCTCCTGTCTTAGCTTCCCTACATTGGCTACCTGTTAAATTCAGAATAGATTTTAAGATCCTTCTTCTCACATATAAAGCTCTTAATAATCAAGCTCCATCATACATCAGTGATCTGATTGTTCCATACGTTCCTAACCGAGTACTTTGCTCTCAGACTGCAGAGCGAAGTGCCACAATAGGAGTCACAAGAGCTCTGACTCACAAGAGCTCTGACTCACAAGAGCTCAGAGACAAATAAGTATTCAAATTAGATGCAGAGCACAACTTTATCATGTTTTGCTTGTGCATGTTTCAGCATTCCCCTGGTTTATGATTACTTCTAAATGTCAGGCGGTAGTGATCACGTCCCGTTCCTTCATCGATCATACACTCACACTAAGACCCACATAAGCTCTTTTCTTACCTACAACCGCTCCGTAATTGATGATTTCTCATCTGTACCCAAGGTCCTTGTATCCTCACACACCTTTGAATCCTTAGAGCGCTGCGTGGACCCCAGCTGCTGCTGAACAGCTGCCAGCTGGCTAGTGCTCCTGGCCCCAATCGTGTCGGTCAGCCACGAGTAACTTGACTGTCTGTGATCACTCCATGCTCTGAATCCATGTTTGGGTTTGCCAACATGCTACAAACTTTACCTGTGGTCACACGATTCCTCCTCTCAGGATCTTGGTCATAGTATTTACCAGAAACACTGTTAGTACATTTCCTTCATGATTTAGATCATGAACACGGCTGATTTGTTTAATTTAGTGATGAAACTCTCCTGTAGACACTAATGAAGGCTGAGGAGACAGTTCAGCTGTTTAGATTAAGGTGTTAAAAGACAAACTCACAAGAGCAGAGTTTCAGTTTTACGATAGTTAAAACGGACTCTAGGGGGTGCTAAAAGCAAGTTAAACTACTACTACAGGCAAGGCAAGGCAGCTTTATTTACAGAGCCCATTTCAAACACAGAGGCATTTCAATGTGCTTTAGAATTATCAGGATGTGATATGAAAACAACATAAAAACACAAATTAAAATACACACAAATAGAATTACAGTTTAGAGCTAAAGGAGAAGACACAGTTACAGCGCAGATTACAGTGGAGACGACGCACGATAAGAAACAATTCATTTAAAGGCTGATGAATACATTAGGGTTTTAGTTTAGTTGTAAACAACACTACGGTTGGGGCAGATATGAGGTCAAGGGGAAGCTGATTCCATATGTGAGCAGCATAATAACTAAATGCATCTCCACCTTGTTTTGTTCTGACCCGAGGTTCTACCAGCTGATTGCTTCCAAGGATCCCTATTGGGTTTATATACAGGAATGAGATCAGAAATGTATTTTGGTCCCATGCCATTGAGGGATTTATAAACTAGTAGGAGCACTTTGAAATCCATTCAGTAGTTTACTGGTAACCAGTGCAAGGATCTAAGAACAGGAGTGATGTGCTCTATTCTCTTGGTTCTTGTTAAGACTCCAGCAGCAGACTTCTGAACAAGCTGCAGTTGCTTCACAGCTTTTTTGGGAAGACCAGTTAGGAGACCATTGCAATAGTCCAGCCGACTAGAAATAAAAGCATGAATACGTTTCTCCAAGTCTGGTCTGGACATGAGACCTCTCTTGATATTTGATGAAGGTGATAAAACGCTGACTTAGTTATAGCCTTAATATGTCCAGACAAGTTCAGGTCGGAGTCAATGATAACACCAAGATTTCTAATCTAGTCTTTATTCTCCTGAAGTCCAGTTGAGCAATAACATCCATTCTACCCCTCTTGTTGCCAAAGACAATACCTTCAGTCTTGTCTTTGTTTAGCTGAAGGAAGTTTGACTACTACTAAACTACTACTTACTTTTCCACCAGCATGTCACTAACTCTACATCTATATAGGATCCTCCTCAAACATGTGCACACGCTCTGTGACTGACAGCTGTACAGAAGTTGATGTCAAACACTATTGGCTAATGCTGAACGCAGCTCAGTTCAAATTACATGGGGCGCTATGGAATGGGGAGAAGCATAGTAAAAAATGAACTTATTTCCTCCATCAAATCAGAGCAGGACTATCACTTTTACAGATTTCTACAAAGAATCCTACAGGATTCCTTTTAAATCTCTTCAGCCATCGTCTGTTGGGGTAGCAGCCTCAGAAGAAGGGATCTGAAAAGGCTCAACAGCCTAATAAAAAGGCTGGTTCTGTTCTGGGGACGACTGTGGAACCACTGGAGGAGATCATGCAAAGAAGGATTCTCCAGAGAATCAAGAAAATGATGGACAACCCTGAGCATTCTCTTCACAAGACTGTCCGACAACGGAAGAGTGTCTTCAGTCAGAGGCTTCTTCAGTTTGGCTGCAACACTGACCGCTACTGGAGATCCTTCCTGCCATCAGCCATTGTAATATACAACAACTCTTTGAAGACTTGATTATTATCATTATTCTGAGCTACTTCAGCAATCAATTTCCCTCTGGGATTAATAAAGTAAAGTTTTTTGAATTGAATTGAATATCACATATCTATGAACTATTTATTAGCCATTTAAAGGGGAGCCTTGTTGTAAAGTGAGGCTGGTATGTATCTAATGATGTGCTTTTTACGAGCCTTTGAATCATGGATAGATGCTATCATGTAGCTTTAGTCTTGACTTTAGAAGTGGGGGCATACAACTGGCATTAGGACCGGGGGGGGGGGGGGGGGGGGGGGGGGTAAGTATACAAAGAATATGTATAAAACTACGGCCTAGAGGCTCTTTTATGCAATGTCAGGAATGCAGAACTGTCAAGTAATAATAGTAATAATGCATTGAACTTATATAGCGCTTTTCTAGACCCCCAAAGACGCTTTTCACACACTCACATTCACACACTGCTAGTGATGGTGAGCTACTTGTAGCCACAGCCGCCCTGGGGAGGTCTGACAGAGGCGAGGCTGTCTTTTGGTGCCGTCGGCCCCTCTGACCACCACTAACACAGGCAAGTTGGGTGAAGTGTCTTGCCCAAGGACACAACAGCAGGATACCCCTGGCAGGAGCTGGAATCTAACCCATGACCCTCCGATCATGAGGCAACCCGCTCTACCACCTGAGCTACTGCTGCCCTAAGTACACAGGTTCAGGAATGGCCAGTCACAGGTTAGCAAGTGTGGAGCCAATAGATGAGCTTATGGAAGGTTAATGGAAAACAGGCTTCAACACGAGCGGTTGTTTTCCGCTTGGTCCTAGTGCTCAACCAGTATCTATTTAATATAGTGTAATATTGGTTTTGGATGGTAAACAGGGCAGGGGACAAAAATGTGTCCATGGCTGTAATGCTGCAGTGGCGTACACGTTTTCACATCCTGTGGCTACATGAAAACACAGATAAATAATGAGTGTGACCATACGCCCGTCTGTGCTGCAGGAGACGAGAGGGCATTGTGTCTGGTGGAGATTAAGAGAGTGAAGCAGTCTCTGGCCCAGTCCCACCTGCCCAGCCAGACTGACCTGTCTCCGTACATCTTTGAGACGGTGAAAGGCTGCCATCTGTTTGCTGCTGGGCGGGTAGGTGAAACCTTACGCTGCAGGATCGTTGTGTTGGTGGAAAATACCTTCTTACAGTAGCTAACATGCTAGTTTTCTCGTAGGTGGACAACGGGCCTTGCATTTGTGCTGCAATGCCAAACAAAATAACCATTCTGCGTTACAATGACAACCTTAACAAGTACTGCATCCGTAAGGTGAGTCAGCTGATGAGAAATTCTAGGTTAGACATAAAGTTGGACACGTTTGTCTGGCACCAGGGTGTGAGCCGTCTTCATCCGCTGCCTCCACCAACCAAGCTTGTGTTCCTCCCACCTCCTAACTCTTCTATCTCATAGGAGATCGAGACTCTGGAGCCATGCAGCTGCATCCACCTGACCAGCTACAGCATCATCATTGGCACCAACAAGTTCTACGAGGTTGAGATGAAGCAGTATGTTCTGGAGGGTGAGTGGGTGGTGTTATTGAACCTCGGGTGAAGGTCGGATGGACGCTTTAACAGGGTGGAACACAAGTCGAACCGCTGTTCTGCCTCCTCTTCTGCAGAGTTCTTGGACAAGAACGACGTGTCTCTGGCCTCAGCCGTGTTTGCAGCCTCCTCTCACAGCTTCCCCATCGCCATCATGCAGGTGGCCAGCAGCATGCAGAAGGAGGAGTACCTTCTATGTTTTCATGGTGAGTTTGGTATTCAGCCAACTGTGAGGCAGGCGCATGTAAAGCCTGTTGACTAGAGCTCCGCCCGTTCGCTGGCTGAACGGTTGTAAAGAGAATGTTTCTGCCCACAGAGTTTGGGGTGTTTGTGGACTCGTATGGACGGAGAAGCAGAACTGATGAGATCAAGTGGAGCTGTCTGCCTCTGTCCTTCGGTCGGTGTCCTATTCAGCTCTTCATTCAGCTGATGTGGTCTTAGAGTGGGTCGGATCACTTTGTTCTTGTGTGTGTTGCAGCCTACAGAGAGCCGTACCTGTTTGTTACCTACTTTAACTCCCTGGACGTCATTGAAATTCCAGGACACACTGCAGCCAGGTGAGACACACCTCAGCTGTCCTCAGGTATGAGACTGTCTGACTTGGTCAGATGGACACTTGTTCCCCTGAGGACCCACAGCCGTTAAGAGGATTAGATAACAGAAACACACAATGACATCACAGTCACGTTTTCCTGTCATCACTCTTGTGTTTGGGTTTCCAGTCCAACAGTGCTGGCCCACCTGGACATTCCGAACCCTCGTTACCTGGGTCCTGCCATCTCCTCCGGAGCCATTTATCTGGCCTCCTCCTATCAGAACAAACTGCGGGTCATCTGTTGTAAGGGGAGCCTGATCCGGGAGTCTGGAGAGCTGCAGAGGACCGGCTCTAGCCGAGGGTCAGCTGAACCAGTAACTTTTGAGTAAAGCCCAACATTTAAAGATCAGGGGTCTCATTTATCAAACATTGCGTAGAATCCTTATTAAAACCGTACTTAAGCTCATCAAATAAAAAATAAAAAATGTACTTACGCCCAGTAGGTTTGTGATCTATCAAACATGGAGTACGCACAGCTGCAAGCAATCTCCGCTTCATAAATCAGACACTATCTAGAAAGGTTCTCAGCTGCTCTTTAGTCACATCCCGCCCTCATGTGTGAGCCCTGGACTGCCATAATGGTCGATGCAAAGTGACTTGTGGATCTCATGCATATACATAAGCCGGCTGTTGCAGCATTTCCATCACGACCGCAGATCAAGGAAGCGCAATTTCACAAGCAGAAGTTGAGGTACCTGTGGGTGAGGTGGAGAAATGAAAGGAAGTGCTTTTGCAAAACAAATAAGACAAAATCCACAGAGTGGCACAGCGTTGCTGAAGCCGTCCATGTTGTGAATTCTTCAGAGAGATCTGTGGCGGATAAAAAAAAAAAAGATCCAATCAGGATTTAATCCCCAGACTCCCAGATGAAAGTGACGCGCGCTAACCAGTCAGCCAAATGGAGATCTCCCGTGTCCAAGTAGCCAGGGTGCATGATCGAGTCACAGTGACAGGACACACACACACACTGTCACAGACATCCTGTCTCAATCTGTCCCCCTGCTGATATTCTGCATTCCGTATTCTGCGCTTCAGGCTGTGTGTGCGCGCGCATGTGTGTGAGTGTGCCCGTGCGTGTGTGTACGCGTGCGTGTGTATGTATGTATGCGTGCGTGTGTGGGGTCTTGTTCTGTGTGAAAACGAAGCAGTACAAGTGATAATGCTGCAGGATTTCATAATTGTATCTTCTCAGCAGCAGCACTGCAGGTGCTCTCCATGTCCAACATGTGCGTAAGCCAGGTCCTTAGTCAACTTAAAGTTGAGCACATTTTTCCTCCAAGTTTTTTTTTTTTTCATAAATCCCAAAGTTTGCAGGGAAAGTCGCTTACGCAGTTTTCCGACCCCGTTTTGTGCGTAAGCAAGCTTGATAAATGAGACCCCTGAGCTCTGAAAACACACAGAACACAAACCATCTGGTAACATTCTAGGATGAAATGCAGGCTTTACTTTTACTGGACACGTTTTTTCTCTTATAGAAGATCAGGTACTGACATGAGCTGTCGCTCTCTGCTGTGCTGTTCACAGTAGCCCCAGTAAGCGCTGCCCCCCCACCTACACAGAGCACATCTCCAAGCGTTTGACCTCAGGACCCGGCAGCCACGACGGTTTGCACCGGGAGCCGAGCACCCCGCACCGTTACCGGGAGGGCCGGACCGAGTTCAGACGAGACAAATCTCCAGCTCGAGCCCTGGACAGAGAGAAGTCCCCCGGCAGGGTGCTGGACAGCCGCAGGGAGAGGTCTCCCGGGAGGTTTGGGGACAGCACTCGACTCCACGCCGGATCTGTCCGAACACAGCTGGCCCCCGTCAACAAGGTGAAAGATGAAAACAACATAGTAAAAAAAAAAAATTGTGTAAAGAGTTCTTTTCACGGTTTTATTTTAGATTTAGTCTCCGAACCTGCACCGGCATGTCTGAGATTAGACAGGAAGTCAGGGGTGTGTTAACGGTCAACTTCGTTGAGAAACCATTTCTGATTATTATTTCTGGTTATTATGAGTCACTCTGAGTTGAACATGGAAATAGTCTCCTACACCTATCTCCTGCATTAGCTTCTGATAGAAAATAAACAGTGAATCTCCAGCTTTAGAAAATCCTGACAGAACTACATCAAACTGGTATTTAACATTCATGGACTCACCCATCTTGACTCACGACGGGGAAGGCTGTTGTTGGTTTAGCGTCCAGGAAACGGCAGAGGACATCTCAGCTAGTCCCGTTAGCATTAGCAATTCCACCACACAGCAGAACTCCTCCAGGCGTGTGTTTTTTGTGGAGATAAAACATCAACATTGCACGTCAGCGGCAGAATCATATTGCTGTTATCTAATCAGAGGTGAGATGTCCAAATATCAGGAAACAAAACTCCAAATTCTGTCTTCTGAAGCTACGTCCACCTCCAGCTGACTTCTTCGTGCTAAAACAGGCACACCGGAGCTTTGTTTCCCCAGAGAATGACTTACAAGGCATTCATTCCAACTAGAGGCCACTGCAAATGTGTTAAAATTATAAGTTAGCCTTTGCTGCATTCTCATAACACATCTGTTCTGTGGAGACTGTTGAGTCATGTGACCATCCAAAGATCTTGACTTGTCCCAGTGCTCCCAGTGAGCAGGAACATTTTTCAACCTATAAGCTTTTTTGGGGGACTGAAACTGAACTAAATCAGTAAGTACAGGTGGACAGGAATGTTTTTGACCTTTGTCCCTGCTGTTGGTTTGCAGGTGTGGGATCAGTCATCAGTGTGAACCAGGGGGTGCTGACTGGAGGCCAAGGAGAACACACACTTGACCCACTCCGAGAGCAAGCACACAACCGCATCACAAGGCTGACGTCAGCCCCATCGCCTGTACATAAGAGCAGCCCGAGCGCCTCCTGGGACAGTCCTCTTCTTCCGACACGTTGTCTCACAGAAGCTACACCGAGGGAGAGTCTACCTTTATAACACACCCATGGTTGTACATAAAGCCGTGAGTTTTTATAGCTGAAGGGAACAGTCGGCTGGTGAAGAAGCCATGTCTATTTTTGTTAAACAGTTTGTAAAGATGCTGCAGAGAGATTCATGATGTTGGGTGGGTGCAGGGTGTCTTCGTCCTTTGCTCAGAGTCAAACCAACTTTTAGTCCCATGAATCAGAAGGGGGGGGGTGAGGGGGCAACACTTTGCACAGGAGACAGTCTTCTCCTACAGATCGGGTGTCTGGTCCTCCTGACTGAATAGCCTTCAACATAAACCTGCTACGACTGCTTTATTGACAGCTGTTGTCCAGCCATACTTTGTAAAACAACAAGTAAGCAACGTTCTTTTGCTCCAAGTGTTCCTTGTGTTGTTTTTGGCTAAACATCAGAAAAAGACCCGTGCAGCTCTGCCTCTGCAGCCAGGCAGGCTCACCCGCCTCAGCTTGCTCGTAGTCCGCCACAGCTGGATGTGGTGCAGCTGTCCTGTTTCTGTGCAGTGGTATGAAGTCGAGTAACCATCAGGGGTCGTGACCTCGTCACCTCAGTGAGCATGACCTAACTTACTGCCGCTTCTGTTGCTTTTTGACCTCGATTCTCTCTCTTGGTTGTTCTTTTCTGTCATGTACTCACTTAAGTAGACATTGGTGTTAAACAGTAACTTTAAGGTTTTCTTGATTTTCAGAGCTGTAAGAGAACTCGGATTAAACATGATCCAAAGTGTGTGTTTAGTGTTTTCACCTGCAGCGTAAAAAAAAGAGAAACGGGATGATCTAGTTTAATTTCATTTAATTCTACAACAAGGTAATGCTCTGTAAAGTAAATTCAACAAAACCAAATATTCAGACTGAACAAGGAGCACTTGTTACAGGGAACCGCTATGTACACACTCCTCTGAGACTTCAGAAGGTCAAAGTGCTGATCCAACACAGGAGGAACAAAGAGGAAAAATCAAGCAAAAACACACCTGATCCCGTCATCAGAGACCCGTAATCAGCTGCTTGGCACCAGCCTCCACCGAAAGATACACACTCTCACACACACACACACATCAGACGATTGCTGGGCCGCTGCAGAGAAGCCTCTGTTAGAGAATGTCAGTGTAAGCTGAGAATGCAACATTTGCGGAGCAAGAGAACTTCTAAAGGATGGGATTAAAAACCAACAGCACAGCAATGTGTGTGTGTGTGTGACATCAGCAGAGCCTCCGACACACACGGCACCAGCCCTCATCACCCTCACAACTCTGAAACACTTTCAGCTGCAGGTTCAGAAGAGTGCTCTGTGGCAGTGTCTACTAAATGTGCAAACTGACAAAAACAAACATCTTTTATCTTTAGAAACAATTCACATTCATGGATCAAAGAGCAAAGAGGCGCGTGGTGCCCTGCGACCGTGTGGTGGTGGTGTAAAGGCTGCAGAGTCAGAGAGCTCTGGCCCCACATCTCATTCAGCTAGAAGTGCTTTATGGGTAGAAACGACGTCTGAACCCACATGAGCTTTAGAGATGTTTTCTTCCTGCTAAGTGCTTTTGTCCATGTTCTACCGTCTCACAGGGCCAAGACCGTTGGTGTGTTTCTCACCACTGCAGCTGTTTAAAACCACCACCAGGTGTCAGGAACACACACTCCGTCAGACAGCTCAGGTGTGCCGAGTCGTCCATCCAGCTGGCGGCCAAAGTTGTCCTAAATCGTAACGGATCTGCAGATGATGTTGGATAAAAAACGAGCAGTTTCATCAGAAGTGATCATAACAATATGACCTGTTGGTGTGTGGAACCGGTTCTCATTCAGCTGAAACATGGAGGACTGAGCAATAACAAAGGCTCTCCGTCTGTGACATGAAGCTGAGAAGCTACTAGAAGTCAGATGTGCATGTGTGTGTGAAAGAGAGAGAGAGAGAGAAAATGAGTCTGGACAAAAGCAGAGCTAGTGTTTGGAGATGGACTGATGTTTGTAAGCTAAAGGGAGGCTTTTATTTTGGAATCAGGCTGCTTGTTTTGGACCACCGTTTTCTCAGCGCATAGAAAACTCCAGTCCCCCCCCCCCCCCCCCCTCATCCTGAGGGATCAGCCGATGAGCAGCACCCCCGGCACCACCTCTCGTCTCAGATCTGGATTTGAAACAGCACTTTAGCAAGCTTGAATAAATAAAACCCAGTAATGATTGCATTGAAAGGAGAAAACCGCTGCAGCATCAAAACAGGACAAACCTGCTGTTCTATTAAACCAATCATCCGTCAGATCCAACCGGTCGCAAAATATAGTTCTCTGCAATTATTCACCTAAAACAAAGAAATAAAAAAATGTGACATATTAAGAGAGCCACTATTTGATGATTCTATACAGTTTTCTTAAATGCTATATATAGACATCTGAATATATTATTTTACTGATTTATTTTACAAAGACGTGTGCGTGAGGAGGTCATAGAACGGGCGTGGCTTCTCTGGTGACTGGTCTTGTGGATTTACAGACTTAGGGAGAACATGAAGAGCCCTTTCTGTTGCAGCCGCGTCTGGAAACCAGAGGCTCTCCAAGGAAACCATCAAACGAGAGCAGATCTACCGTCTGAACCCTGGTGGAGCTCACCCTGCCCGACACCAACATCTAAAACTACAGGGTCTCTAGCTGGAGGGCTGTGAAAAACAACCCGTAAGAGTCTAACTCATCAGCATTTTGGTCGTTTTAACTAGTCGCCAACAGAAAAGTAGATGAGAACGTCTGACAGGCTGGTCTGCTGGATCCCTTCACCCAGCATCACCAGTATGAAGAGCAGCGCTGGCGACGCAGACGTCTTTTAAACATCTGAGGAAAAACAACTTTTGTTTAAACCTTATGGTTAATGGAGTCTTTTGCTTTTTCTTCCCACCTCTCAGGGGACAACTCTAGTGGGGGGCGTCTAAAATTCCTCCACATGACCAGCAAACACAGTGAGATCACCTCCTCCTCCGCATGCCTGGCCCAAAGGTCCAGGAAGTCCATTCTCGCTCCTCTGAACTTGGCGTGCAGTTCCATCGCTGCTGCGGACCCTTTCTTACTCGCACACAAACACACACACACACAAAGTACTTGGCGTGTTGCCAGCACATCCCCCTCTGCGTATCGACCTACAGTCCCTTCTCCGCCGCACTAACAAGCACACACAATCACACGAGTACATGGGACATTCTGCGTAGCTGGCATGCGTCCGTGTCAGTGGCTGGCGGCTCAGCCCGGCTCTCCTGCGCTTCGCTGCGGTGGTCCTCAGTTGGAGCTGGCTGTGATGGGCTTCTCCAGCTCCAGGTCCAGGGGGACGGAGCTGACCTGGAGGCTGCTGTAGCAGCTCCTGCACACCCGACTGGGCTCAAACAGCTGCTGGCTTGGCACTGGGATCTTTTGGTCACAACAGCTGGCGCAGAAGACATTACCGCAGTTCCTGTGGGGGGAGCGGGAACAGAAGGATCAGAGGGGAAGTCTGACACAGAGGATAGCTCCAGGTATCATGCAGCTCCCTAACTGACGATGCTAACGTGTCATAAGAAGCCTGCAGCTGACCTGATCAAAGCAAAGCCAGAAGGATGTGACTGATGAGAGCAGAGGGTCTGATCTAAACGCTGGTCTGAACCACCCGAGACTCACGAGTGGACAGAAGGCATGCAGGCCTCTCTCGCTTTCGCTCGACCGTCAAATCCCTCCACATGCTAGCTTAGCCGAGGAGCTCCAACAAACAGTAAATATTCAACCAATGAAACGGCAGCACTGAGCGAGCGCACGGCTCACACGGGGGGACTCATGTGAAGCCATGCGCGCGCACACACACACACACACACACCTAGAGGTGCCTTTTTTGATGCCTGTTCATAACCCAAAACAATACCAGAGTCTGACATTAGAGCCAGGTGGACAGAGCAGCTTAGGAGGCTGGGTCATGCTGCTGGGGGATGCAGGGGGCTGGTTTGGGGCAGCATGCTGCCGGGGTGTCTGCTGGGGTGGGGGTGCTATGGTGGGTTGAGGCTGAGAAATTTCACGTTGCTGTTAAAAAAGTCAAAAATTGACATGATGCAAGAAGCAGCTCTCAACCAATCACAGCTTTGATGTTGGGTCAGAGCCAGTTCTGTCCAAATACGTCTCTGTGATGCTACGGATGCTGCAGGCGAGTAGGGAGGGGTTGGTAGGGTTAGGGTAAGATAAGGGGGCTGGAGTGATGGTGGGAGGTAGGACAGAGGAGCCGGAATCTCACCAGACCTCCTGGACAGGCTCCCTGCCACTGTAGAGGAGGAAGAGGGGCAGAGAGTGGATAAGAGCGTATGAAATGAGGAGAGAACATCAACAGACCCAAACAGAAGATGTTTGTTTCACTCCTACATCATGGACCACATGACCAGCTGAGTGGTTACAGCAAACGTCTACAGCAGGTCCTGAAGCTGCAACAGCGATATCAGGACAACTTCAGCAGACAGAAGTCTCAAACTATCAAACGATCACCGTGGGAACGCAGCGTCCCCCTATCAGACCAGACCATTACGCTGAGATGGTGTTACGGGTGAGTAACCACTCTAGTTCTGATCATGAGGGTATGGTTAGGTGGCTGCTGAGGGAACTTATGACGATATGGCTGCCACAGCGAGAGGAATCAAGGACTTAATTCTGAGTCAGAAGCTCTTCTTCCACAATGTTTTGTTCATAAATAAAATGAAGAGAAAGAAACAGTCGTGAGTTTTTATTGCTAGCTAAACAACACCTGGAAGGCTGCAATGTTTTACTTTACAATTTGTTTCCTTTATAAAGGAACGTGTGGGCGTGGATTTGGGAAAGGTTCCATGGAGCTGGTAGAGACGGACAAATATTCACAGATCCCCTGAAACACCTGCAGGTCCAGAGCAGAGTCTGGAACAAGCTGCAGAGGCCGAGTTGGGATCTTTAGAATCAGAATCACCTTTTTAGCAGCTACTCCTTCACCGGTGCATTAGATAAGTAGAAAATACAGCAAAGTACAATAAAATACATATATACCATCTAAAATAAAGAACTCAGCATAATAAAGGGAACAGGTTGAGATGATGAGTGTAAATGAGCAGGAATGAAAGATAGAAACCACATTATTAGTGCACTGGTGGGTTGATTGTTATGAAGTTAGCATCTACCTATTTACAGTACAGTCAAAAAAGGCACAATATATGCAGCCGTATGCATTCAGGGATGCACACGGGACCGCAACACCAGAAGTAATGAACATGAATGTAAGGTGATGAGCAGAAAGCAGCTGATTCCACAGTATGGGAGTTTTATTTATTTATTTTTTTTGGTTGCTTATTCTGGGTCGGGTCATGGGGGCAGCAGCCTAAGCAGAGAGGCCCAGACTTCCCTCTCCCCAGCCACTTGGGCCAACTCCTCCGGGGGAATCCCAAGGCGTTCCCTGGCCAGCTGAGAGACATAGTCCCTCCACCGTGTCCTGGGTCTACCTTTAGGTCTCCTCTCAGTTGGACGTGCCTGGAAAACCTCACCAGGGAGGCGTCCAGGAGGCAACCTGACCAGATGCCCGAGCCACCTTAACTGGCTCCTCTCGTTGTGGAGGAGCAGTGGATCTACTCCAAGCCCCTCCCGGATGACCGAGCTTCTCACCCTGTCTCTAAGGGAGAGCCCAGCCACTCTGCAAAGAAAACTCATTTTGGCCGCTTGTATCCACAATCTCCTTCTTTCAGTCACTACCCAAAGCTCCTGACCATAGGTGAGGGCAGACCTCTTTACCACAACACATCGGTACAACGCCCGCATCAAGGCAGACGCAGCACCAATCCACCTATTGATCTTATGCTCCAGCTTTTCCTCACTTGTGAACAAGGCCCAGAGGAACCTAAACTCCTCCACTTGAGGCAGGACCTCATCCCTGACCTGGAGAAGGCATTCTACCCTCTTCCGACTCAAGACCATGATCTCTATAGGAGCTGATTCTCATCCCAGCTGTTTCACACTTGGCTGCAAACCGCTCCAGTGAGAGCCGAAGATCATGTTCTGATGAAGCCAACAGGACCACATCATCTGCAAAAAGCAGAGACCTGATCCTTAGGCCGCTAACACGGATGCCCTCAACACTTTGGCTGCACCTAGAAATCCTGTCCAGAAAAGTTATGAACAGAATCGGTGACAAAGGGCAGCCTTGGCGGAGTCCAACTCTCACTGGGACCGAGCCCGACTTTCTGCCGGCCATGCGGACCAAGCTCTGACACCGGTCATACAGGGACCTCACAGCCCGCATCAAAGGGCCTGGTAGCCCATACTCCCATAGGCTTGGCTCCTGCCATCCTAGATCAGACTCTGGACTAGAGCCCTGCACGGGCCTAAAATCTGAGCTCGTGTCCGGCCCGGCCCGAGGGGGTGGAGCCCCAGCCCGACCCGGTCCGAAAAGGTTTTCAGGATTCTCTGGCCCGAGCCCGGCTTTTTTTTTAACCTTTCATAAAGTTTTAGCGCGATCGAATGCTCAGCATTCTAATTATCTGTGAGAAGCGTTCTGCAGTAAAAAAAAAAAAAAAAAAAAAGAAAAGAAAGAAAAACAGCATCAATGCAGCTTTTCTTCTAACAGAGCGTATTTTTCGAGCGGCAGATGAAATTTACGAACACTATATTAATTGGATGCGTTTGTAAATTTAATCTGCCGCTCTGAAAATGCGCTCTCCAGTTAGAAAAAAAAACAGCAATGAATGCTGTAGTTTTTTTAACTGCAGAGCGAATTTATTCACAGAAAAACAGAATGGTGCCGTCTTCATGAGAATAAACGAATGGTTTCTGTCATCAAAGTGGACATAAAATGGCATATTAGAATAGGGGCACATGTTTCAATCAGCAGTTTGAGAATTCATTTATATCGGCGCATTTATAAACCAGAAGCAGGCAGGTGCTGCTGCGTTCAAGTGTTTCAGTTTTTTTTTATGAATTTGATTAAAAATAAAGGCGCCCGGCCCGTGTCCGAGGTAATTACACAGTCGTCGGCCCGAGGGCCGACCCGAGGGCCTAGGGCTTCAGTGCAGGGCTCTACTCTGGACCATCTCGATTGTTTTCTAATGAAGCCAAAGAGCCTGAAATCTACTGAGATGAGATGGTAGAAATGAGAACTACTTCATGGTGACCAACACTGGTTTCCTTCTGCTCTCTAAAGCATGATGAGGAAGAAAATCCTCCCACAGCTGGTCACTGATGAACGGCTGGGTTAACGTCCCCTGTACCGACTCGAGACAGGCCTGAGAACTTACCTGCAGTGATGCTTCCTGGTAGCAAGCCAAAACCTGCTTTCACAGCCGTAACACTGTGCCGCCAAATGATCAGGGTACCAGCGCGTGACCTGCAATATACAGAGTCCTTCACAGCTGCGGTCTACTGCGCAGGTCAACAAACATCTCTAGATGTGTTGGTCTGCTCACCTCAGTGTCCTGCTTGTCCACTTGCTCCCAGCTGGCCTCAGAGAAGAGTTCTGTGCTGCAGCGAGACAGACAGTTTGGGTCCAGGTTGAATTCAGAGTCTGTCATCGAGGTCTGCAACAGCACACGAAGCAACTGCTGTAATCTCAGCTTTAACCAGCAAAAATCAACATTCGGCCTGGAATCACTCCCACCAGTCAGACGCTTTAGGGAAAAGTGCTCCATCAGGGTCTTACCACTTCATCCCCTAGCTCTCCGTTAATCCGGTGGGAGCTGGTGTGCTGCTGATTCTCCAGACGGCTCCACAGCTCCTGTACCTGCTTCTTCAGAGTCTCCACCTCCATTTGGTGCCCCGCCTCGATCTGCCTCAGCCTCTGCTGGATGGTGTCTGTGTGCAGGGTCAGCCCGTCGTCGTCCAGGTGGCTGCGGGACGGCTGCTCTGGGCTGACGACGGTCCTGCTCAGCAGGGCGTGGCACCAGCGGTGCTGAGAGCAGCAGCCCCGAGGGTGCAGGATCAGGGAGTTGCAGCTTGCCAGGGACACCTGTCGACTCAGAGGGGCCCGCTCCCCTTTGTGCCAGTGAGCTCCTACGCACGGGTCTCTATCGGAGCCGTCTCCATTGCACAGCCCTTCCCTGCTGAGCTCAGCACTCACAGACTGAAAGGCACTGATGAAGGGCTGCTTGCTTCCCCCGTTTAAAGTTCTGCTGAAGCTGTGCTCACCTGTCTCCACCCCCTTCTCCTTCCTGAAGCAGGGCGCTTGGCTCTTGCCATCCATGCAGGGCTGATGGTTCAGACAAACGCTCTGCTGAGCTGGAGGATCCGATCTGCTGCAGGCTTCTTCAGTTAAAGTCTCTGTTGAGCTCTCCATCAGAGAGGACTTCTTATCGACCTGCTCTGCTGGCTCAGAGACAGCATGCTGGGATTCAGGGAGACAGCCGTCCTCGTCCATGTCCCACTCCTCAGGGGACTTGTCCACAAAGCCGTCGGTTAAAGTTCTGTGGGCCTCCAGCTGCTCAGACTCACCTGAGCTGGACTGGCAGGCGTCTTCTGCTACTTCCTCCTGAACAGAGGACTTCTGCTTCAGCATTTCTTCTGGAGAGGGAGCCACCTCAGCTGCCTGTTGATCCAGACCCTCCTGTTTCTGGGCAGGCTGGGGGACAGAGTCACTGTCCTCCTCTGCCTTCACGATGCCATTTTCTCCATGGTAACCACTGGAAAATGTTTCTGGGTGCATCTCAGCCCTAACCCTAATCTGATGCTGCTCGTCGTGTTTAGCTTCCTTCACGTCTGTGTCAGCAGCACCTCTCTCTGTCTGTGTGTCAGCTCCTCCCTCCTCCTTTGTGGCTTCCTGAAGAATATTCTCCATTTGGCCCTCGACCACACTCATAGCCACAGAGAGCTCCGCCTCCTCTGTCTCCTCTTCTCCTGGGTCCACACAGGCTTCCCGTGGAAGTGCAGCCTGGGATTCCTGGGACAGCAGGCTGTCGTCCAGCTCAGAGTCTGCTCCGTCTGGAAAAAGACCCTCTCTGTTCTGATCCTGATCCCCCCCACCTTCAGGCCCCATGGCCATGTTGAGCTCCAGAGAGCGTCGGTGGTCCTGCCACTTCTCGTTGAGGCTCGGGTCACTGGAGCGGCGGTTGGGAGCCAGCGAGCTTCCCAGCTCACATGCACTGGGCAAGTTGTCAAAAGAGCGAGTTTTGGTACGTCTGAGCAGGAAATGAAAAGAGTAACAATTAGGAACCAAAATAAATGTTGCATCAAAGAGGCTGAGCATGGCTGGTGCACTAGGATCATCAAACCAATCATTTCACCCACAAAGAGATTAAAGTTCTACCCAGACTCTGTTTCTAACTCTGATCTCAGAGTTTAAACCACATCAGCATCACAGCTGAACTCATTCAGGTTTCTCCTCCAGGTTTTTTTCGGAAGAGACTGAAACAGCACGTGACTGAATGCATGAAAGCAGCTGAAAAGTCGGGACCCTCTGGCTGTTGGGAGTCTTCGACTTGTGTTTATCTTACATGAAGCAGGAAGTGGGAGGGGGTCGGGTCCCAGCGCGCCAGGCTCACCTGCCCAGGGGCGCATCCTCTGGGTTGACTCTGGGCACGGGATAGGGGGCGCAGGAGTCATCGGAGGGGGTGGTGGGGGAGGAGCTGGGCAGGTACACTGCTGTCCAAAGCATCAGGTTTCGTACGTGACACACGGGGTGGAGGACCTGCACGGACCAGAGATCCTCATCAGAAACAAAAACTAAACATTCTGTCTTCTAGACACAAAATTTCTCTAACCTTAAATCCTCAGAGGGACCTTAAATCACACCTGACTCCATAGCAAATAGAAATAAATCACCACGATTGTGAAATACACCAGTCTGGTTTTATTTCGCCTGAAACGGATCTGTCTGAACCAAAAGGAATGAAGAACCCTCTGGTTTCACATTCTTCACATTAAGCTTTTCATCCGGCTCAGCTTCTACTAAACATGCTGGTTAGAAACCAAATCATGTGTTTTCATCAACAACAAGCAGCAGCCAGAGGAGAGAGGTGGACGTACGGACTCGGAGTGGGAGGAGTACAGCATGTTCCTCAGCGTTCGGTTGGCTGGTCTGAGCTGAGACCAGACGGAGCAGGTCCTCTCCTGGACATGACGATCCTCCCTCTCCTTACCGCTGTTACACAGAAAGGTGCCGAACAGGCAGGAGTATGTGTGCTGCACCAGCTTCACCTGAAATCACACACACACACACACACACACACACACACACACACACACACACACAGAGGCTTGTATACAAATCTCAGGCATGACAAGAGCTCAGATAAAAGCTGTTTTCCAGCTCGCCGCGTGACAAAACCCAGAAATGACAGAAGATTAGTGCCTGAACAGGAACAGGTGTGAGGAATAGCACTGCTCCCTCTTTGCATAAAACATCCAGAGGTCACAGACCTGAGGATGTCAGCTAAATGTAGACGTACCAGGAAGGCCTCGTTGAACTCAAAGGAGCACGGGAACTGCCTCTGCAGCTGATGAACACAGTCCAGCCACTGCAGGAAGACCGGGCAGCGCTCATTCAGGTCCTCAGAGTTTTCTCCGTGACCACAGCGATCAGCAAACTTGTGGCCAAAGTCCAGCCAGTCTGTCTCCACCAAAACCTGGAAGCCCTGCACAAACAAATAAAACCTTTCAGGTTCTCATGTCCACCAAACACATCTGTGCCCTTGCAGCAGCTAGACCAGGGGTCGGCAACCTGTTCTCATCAAAGAGCCATTATTACCCGTTTCCCACAGTAAAGAAAACACTGGGAGCCACAGCAGCCGCGGCGTTGTGGGCGGGGCCTACCCTCAGACAGCAGAGAGCTGCTTTAACCAATCACAGCAGGTGACAGCAGCCGGTACCGGTCGCTCGTGTACGTCAAAGTTATCTTTCATAAGAAGATAATCAATAAAACGATTTATATAAAGTGGATCCAGAAGTTGTAGCCCGTCTCTGCTACAATATTTTGATATTTTTCACCCTGTTGGTGGTTTTACTGAGCAGGTGCCACTTTTGTCATACGTTTCTTTTTAAAACATGTTTAGACTGTTCAGAATACAAATCCAGGCTCTGTCACGTTTGATTGTTGTAATTAAACTTTGTAGGTGGGGAAGGTCAGAAAAGGATCCGATCATTTTGTTTTTCCCTCATTTACAGTGACGGAGATAACGGCGCAGTGCGCCTGGCTCTGGTGTTAATCAAGTTTAATTTGATCTCTTTGCAACAATTTTCACAAGAAAGCAGAACAGTTAAAAGCAGGGCTTGTGTTGACCGGACAGTTCCCGTATTTGACCGTTTATTTTGACGGAGAAAGAAGAGAAAGAATTACCCCGACGCATGCAGACGAACTGACATTTTATTCTACGTACATCGCAGATGTAGCTAAATCACTCAAGAAAAGATTCCCATCTGAACATCTGAGCTGGACACTGCTCAGCGCAGCTCACTGTCAGCGTGTACTACATAAGGTCCACAGCGAGCTGAAGATGTGGAGATTGGCTTGGAGCGCGTCGCAGAACCAGAGCGCATGCGGGAAGATTCCTCCGACTGAAGCGAGACTTGTCACTTAGAAAATGTTCCCTGATTATGAAACTTTGGCTGAATAGCGCTTGTTCCTGTCTCCAATGTGGCGACACATCCAGGAGCCGTCTGAGGAGAATCCCAGAGTCTCACATCCTCTTCAGCTCAGAAAGCGCCTATGATTACGCACAAGCGTGACGCGTCAACCCGGTCTCACAGTAAGACCGGGTTGGACCTGTTCAGGTTTACACAGACAATCTTTACATTTAGAATTAGCTTACAGATGTAAAATTAATGCAGTAAAATATAAAGCTTTTTATTTAAATATCCATTCATTATTTTACAAGCACAGAGAGCCGCATCAGATGGATGGAATGCGGCTCCAGAGCCGCAGGTTGCCGACCCCCGATCTAGACACTCGTCACATGCTAATCAACCTGCTTCAGACAGCTGTGGATGAAAAAGGTGCTAGACAGAGAGCAGAAGCTCTAGCTGCAGCTCAAACTCTGCTACTCTCATTCTCACAAAAACAACAAACCATGTGAAACAAAGGGAACTGCTCACTACCTCGATGGTGCGGTAGTAGGGGTCCAAAAGCAGCTTGGACAGAGCCACGATCTGAGGTGTGCGGTCCCAGCCATCGGAGCAGTGCACCAGAACCGGTCTGCGGTCTCGGTCCACCGCGTTCACCACTAGCAGGGCCGCCTTCAGCAGCAGGGACAGATGCTGCAGCCACTTGGTGCTCTCCAGGGCTGAGAGCCAGCTGTGGACACAAGCAGCCACAATAACACTCATTTCTTCATGTTTTCTCACAGAAAGCTTGCCTTATTGTTACAGAGTGGAGTAGAAAAATATCCTACGCTTCATGAATATTGTTCCGTTTTTCTCCAGTCTCAGTTTCTTTGTTGGCGGAACATTAATGAAAACCAGGACTCTTAAATCTACAAAACAAGCTAGCAAGGTCACAGAACTCTCACCGCTCCCGTCAGATACCACCCCTGGACCTGATAGGGAACCCACATTGCCGGAGGAAACGAGACAACAAACGAGGTTTTCTAGGTCCAAACGTCTCTTGTTGTCCGTGATTTCAAACGGTGTTTTCCTTTTTGTCACTCTGGTAGTTTGTCCTGAACTAGAAGGGGTAGCAGCCGGCCGTTTCTCCTTCTCTGGTGCTATTGAGCGGAGAACCTCTCACACCGGGTGTTCTGTTGTTGAATACATGAGTTTGTGATAAGTGGAGGACCCAGGGAAGTGTGGCGGTTCAGTGGGACCAACGACCTGATGGTCCAAATGTTGGTTTTGAACCGAGCCGTGTTATTGGCTGAGACTTTTAGTCAAATGCGACAGAATCACTTATCTATTTATTTTTCTCTACGGTGTATTTATAGCTATGCTCTTTTAAAATGTTGTAGCTTCAAACAATGCTCTAACCCAGTGATGCTGAATAGGAGAACCCCCTCTATGTGGCCCCGGAACCAGCAACCCCCCTTTCCCCCACCGGACCAGACCTCTGAAGACAAGGGGGCTGCAATACTGCGAGCCCCAATTACTCTAACAACACCCCCTGAACCAGCTCTCAACAACATTGGATTTTGATGTAGACTAATTCATGGACATAAGAAATGGCTGACGAAAGGGCTTGGCCATTCATCAATGGACTAATAGTTCAAAGTCTCACCCTTAAGTCATAAATGATCTAAAAGAGGAGCAGACATTTTATTTTTGTGACAGCTGCACGGCTTTATGCGAGTCCATCTGCCTCAACCTTAATAATCCAACTTCCTCAATAAATACAACATTCATCTAAGACCATCTAGCTAACCTGCACTCCAGTGTACGGAGGATTTTAGGAATGACGATGAATAAAAGATTCTCGATTTGTCATTAGGTCAGACTTTAAAATGGTAAATGGCCTGTATTTGATGTAGCGCCATCTAGAGTCCTGGAACCCCCCAAGGCGCTTTACAACACAATCAGTCATTCACCCATTCACACACACATTCACACACTGGTGGGGATGAGCTACAGTGTAGCCACAGCTGCCCTGGGGCGCACTGACAGAGGCGAGGCTGCCGAGAGCTGGCGCCACCGGTCCCTCCGACCACCACCAGCAGGCAATGTGGGTTAAGTGTCTTGCCCAAGGACACATCGACAGCGAAGGACTGAGCGGGGCTCGAACCTGCAACCTTCCGATTATGGGGCGAGCACTTAACTCCTGTGCCACCGTCGCCCCAAAAATCAAGTACAGATATGTGACAAAGCCACTGCACAACTGGGATCACTGGTGCCCCCCGGTAAGCACTGGGTAGCTTTAGTTACAGCCTGCAAAGCTGTCGGGTTGTGTGTGTGGTGTGACTACAGAAATCTGGAGCTACGTAAAAGATAACGTACTTGGCTGGATCGGGCATCTGGGTGCAGAGGAAGCGTAGAGACTGGAAACTCTTGCGAATGGAGTGGATGTTGGCCATTCCCATGAACACCACCTCACAGTTGGGGTAGTACTCTAAGAGAACAAACAAAAAAGGTTTTAAATTTAGCACAGAGACAACTGTGTCTGTAGCCAAGTGATTTACTGAAGCTGCTGCGCACACGCACACGCACACACACACACACACACAGATCTGACTGTGAACAACCGAAGCCTACCTGGGCACTCACAGCCACCGCCCTTTGCCCTGTTAGCTACTGCTGCAGCATACGACCTGGCATCCAGGATCAGTAGCTTGTGGGGCTGCGTGGCTAGAGTTTCCACCTCTGAGCTGTTGGTCATGGACGATTCTAAAACAAGACAGACATTCAGCTTAGACAGATGCCCACACAGACAAAGGTGTTGACAAAGAGTTAAAGCTAAAGATGTGTTCAGGTATGTCAGCTTGATCCGTCTGTGTTTGTGTAAACTCGCTGCTTCTGACAGGCCCAAACAGGCCAGATTCCACATCTGCTGCCAACTCCTGCAGGCAGCAAGACCTCAAGATGAAAACCTGTCTGCGGGATGGTGTGTGTGTACATCTGGGTGTTAGCTCTTACCAAAGTCAGTATCAGGCAGGTCTGCCCCGTTGCTGTAGCTCCCGTTCAGAAGGTGCTTGCGGGAGCTGCTGTCCACGGCACAGGCCTTGGCGATGGACTGAACCAGGTGCTCATCATCAGCATTCCTCCAGCCCCACCAGCTGACTTCTGGCTGGCCACAGCGGGCGATCACAGCTCCTGTGCTCTGGTGTCTAAGAGAAGGACAACCAGGGGCAAACGCTCTCTGTGAGAAAGCTGAATGTTCTTAACAGAGACTAAACAATAACCCATGTGAGGTGACGTTTAGTGATTTTATTACAGTAAAAACAATCATTTATCTCTAAAATCTGGGCTGGTTTACTGCTTCTTAAAGGGCTCGTTCACTGGGAAACGTATTTCTTGTTCTTTTTGAAACAAAGTCAGTCACTGAGCTCCACGTGCATGTTGAGCGTGAACGGTCTGATCACCTTGACTTGAAACTGTAGAAGGCTGTGCTGGTTTAGCATCCAGGAGAGAGCAGAGCTGGTAGAAGCTAGCCATTAGCATTAGCAACACCCCGACATGGCAGAACACATCCAGGCTTGTGTTATTTTTGAAGATAAAACATCAACGTTGCATATTTTACTACAGAAAGAAGAAGAGCGAATGACGGCAGCAGAGGACTCGTGATCCTGTCTGACTGAACCTTAACCTTTGTTGTTTCACTTGCTGAGACGAACACTCCTGGTGTACAGAACAGTTTCCTTTTGTGGACCCTAAACTCAAATGCCACAAAGACAAAAACCAGAACTGAAGCCTTTCCTCCCGACTCCTCTCTGACCCTCTGAGTAATAAAAATAAGGCGGGCAGAGCAGCTTTTATTTACCAAAAGCTCATCTTCACCAGCATTTATGACCCCCTTAACTCCTTAAGACCATAAACAAGTATCTTGTTTCTGTCTTTTGATAAACAAGTGGTAAGTTTAAGGAAGAAAGTCATACACCAACCTATAAACCACAGCAGGAAACCTCTTCCAGGAGCGGAAGGCGGCCACGTTTTCCAGCTCCTTGTCAGTGATCCAGGCTGGCACCAGGAGCTGCTGAGGGTAGCTGGGGCAGAGCCTGGCCGGGCAGAAGGCCAGAGACAGCAGTTAGACAAGGTGAGGACACCCAATCCTGGGTTGGTCCCTTATCTGCCCAGGGGTGAAGTACCGGTGGAGCACAGTAACACAGCTGCCCACTGTCTAACACACACACTCACACACTTGTGTTGCTGACCAATGAAAGCACAGTTTGGGATCGTCTCTAACTGGGAATGCAGGAACTCAACACAGCAGCAGGATCCTGAATGAACCCCCTTTACCTGAACTTGCTGTTGATGTCCGATATCCTCCAGGCATTCTGAGTGTCGAAGCCCATCCTCTCCATCTCGTTTTTGAACCACGAGGTCACGTGTTCTCCTGCAGGGAAGCAGGGAAGTCTGATTAGACGGTGGAGGAGGCATCCCTGTGAGGGCAGGAGGGAAACAGTGGAGTACCTGGCCTGCACAGCTCGCCGTGCTGCTCCTTCTCTCCTGCGTACACCTCCATGCACCAGGCGTGGAAAGCAAAGGAGAAGAGGTCCTCCAGGCGAGAGGGAGGGCGCACGACAACACCCAGACGTTTCAGCCATTCCTGACACTGCTCAAAGGTGGAGAACTGGCATCTGATCAAAGGCAGACAGACAAACAGCCCACTGAAACATAAGAGTAAACTAACTGTACGTCTACAGCACAAATCCTTGGTTCAGAAACAAAAAAACTCTCAGGTTCATTTCAATTTTATCCACAGAATGTTAGAAACATGGGATGAAACTGGCGAACAAATAAATAAAACAAAAAAATGGTCGTTCATAAAAATGTAAAATCAAAGTTGGTCAGAGTTGGTGAGTCAGCTGCTCGATCGTCCGCTGGAGGAAGAAGTTCGTCGTTTATGAGCTGGATGGGTGCTGCTGTTGGTCGTTTATGGAACCACGCTATAGACGTCAGTACACACACCAGTAAAAGGACACTGTAGTTACCGGTAATTGCCAGAGGTACAGTGCACGACCATAGTGTTCCCCAGCAAACCAGTAACGTTCCACAGTGGGAACACCAGCCCTTAGAACCCCATTACCAAATGCTGATGGTGTTATCTGAGGTGATATGAAGGAAGTGTGATTTTGTATGAACGTGGCTCTTACCTGACAACTTTACAGTCCTTGCAGGTGACATGAAGCTGGAACATATCCCGACACTCCACACACTCAACCAGCTGCAGAGGGACCTGTGGAGCCGGAAACAGCAGAGGGCCAAACCACGATCAGCTCAAACGCACCCAACCTGAGACCAGATCATAGCTGCTGCTGAACGCTGGTGCAGCTTCACTGCTCATGTTCAACCAGAGCGAGCTGGGACATCAGCTCCAGTAAAGCCTTCATGCCAAGGCTCACAGCTTTGTCCTGCTACATTACAGCTGTTCCACAGACTTCATTAAACATTGTGCGTCAAGTTTTCATCTCACACAGAGCACTTCCAGGTGCATTAGTGTTTAGGTCACAGCTCACTCTGGATGATCTCTACATACAAAAAACGTCCAAACACAGAACCAGAGTGCTTTTCCTTTTGGCTCATGGCTGCAGTCTTATCGTTTCTAGGCAAATACCAGGCAAGGTTCAGAACTGTCGTGTGCTGAAACCTAACAGGATGGGTGGAATCCTGCAGGGAGACGGCTCCACCGTTTCTAACTCAGTTCATAAAGAGCACTTCTCAGCTGTGTGGTAAATGTCTGTAGAAGGTGTGGCTGGAGATGTGGGTCATGCACCATCAGCAGCCATTCAGGTCATAACACACCAGGCTGGCTGCAGGAATTGTTTGTATGAACATCCAATCATATTTTACTCAGCAGGCTGTTAAGCTAACATCTGTTGTTAAGGGGGGGGGGGCATTAAAAACTCACACCCTCAGGCTACACCTAGTGAGCAGGCAGGCACAAGCTTACAGAGTTAGACTCAGCCACTCCACTCTGCAGCGCTGCGGGGTACTTACTGACACCTCACAACAACAACTCTATCCAGAAGAAAACAGAGGACACAGTCAGAAAGTCATGCGTGTCTGTTACACACACACACACACACACACACACACACACACACACACACACACACACACACACACACACACACGCAACTAGGCACACACACACACACACACACACACACACACGCAACTAGGCACACACACACAGCTTCACATCTATGATCTGACCACTATCTAAAGTCCTGAGCTGCTTCTCCCTCTCCTCCATCATGACTGACAGCTCATCCGTGCGATGCAACCTCAACCTCATCGAAAAAGTCCAAATAAGTTGGAGGAAAATGCTGAGTCAGTCCCTGGAGGGTCATTAAAGCTCCAATCAACCTCTGTAGCAGGTAATGAACAGGAAACGGACAAATGCACTCAGCAGAAGTCCTGGATGGATATCTGGTGAATGAGGAAACCCAGAACTAATAATGTTGCATCTCCTCAGCTCACAGCATCAAATGAGCAGCGAAACACCTCCCAAAGCCTGAACGGAGTGGATACTTGCAGGATGAGCAGAAATCATGCTGGTTTTGTTGAACATGAAGGCAGCTCTCACTAGGTTTCAGTTTGCTGCTTTGTGGGTCGGCGAGCCACCAGTGGGTTATCTACGGTCACACTGCAGGTCCTCATGCTCAATCCTGATCGTTGGTGGTTTTTCACACGATGACTGAAATGCAACAGTGTGGCTGGTTTACAGCCCTGATGAGCTCAAACAAGCTCGGTTTGAGGAAGTAAAAATGGCGGCTGCAGCTGTTGCGCAGCAGCATTTCCTGTACAGTCAGAAACAACATTTTTACAAATGGATTATAGCTTCTTTAGAGTTTGCTCAGAGGCTCTCGACTTCCCTCTGACACTGTAGCCACATGCTCCTGTGTCCTTGTTCAGACGTTTCATTGGTGGCACACTTGAACGCAGCCGGGTCGCTCACGATCCTTCAGGTTTGGCTTGAACAGAATCACCACCGCATTTACTAACCATGTCAGAAACCATTGACTGGCTCCATCTGTAGTATCCACCATGCCTGTTCAAGCTAACAACCTTTAAAAGTCCGTATTATTCTAGATGGCAACTATTCAGCCTTGGACCAAACAAAAAGGAGTTTGTTTTAACTGCTGATGTTTTAGTTTAGCTCTAAATGGTCGTGTGATGACATGGTCTACATGGTCAGACCATTTCACAACGGTTCCTGTAGATATTTCACCTTTCAGAATGGTGCATGTTAATAATCACAGAGCATGTGTCTGCTGGGATACGGGACCGTGTCACTCAACAAGAATATTTACTAAGTAATTTGCAAAGTAAGTAAAGAAAACCTCTCCTCACTGAGTCAATGTGGGCTTTTAAAAAGAGGAAGAGAAAGGTTTTATGTAGCACATGACCCGTCATCGCACAATTTCTCTGTGTGTTTGCCAACAACAGGGACAGCTCAGTGATCTGACCATAGCTTTGTTCTCCAGGCAAACAATTTCTCATTAAATTGAGGCAAATATGTGACCTGGGAGGAAAGCACCTCCATACGATTGCATGTAAGAATGTGGAGATGCTACAGCTGATAATAACACAAGAAAAGTTTCTGGCAAATAAAAGAACCACAGTCCTGTGAAGCTCTAGAGGCCTCTGAGTTGTGCCAAGTCACAGATATGTAAGTGAGGGCTAGAAAGGCTAGAATCAAACTGCAAACATCTTTCTGGGGAAAACAGGGTTTGTTTTGTTAGGAACAAGATAGTCCATCTCGTCTTTTGGTGAAGACAGCCTGACTGTTGTACATCCCCTCGGGAGCAGCAGTAACCATGGCAACAAGTCCATAGACAGAGCGGGACAGGCTGGTGGGGTGGCAAAAAGCCACATGGTGGTGCTGCCATCGCTCAGGTCACTCCGGTCTGAGTGCCCGGGTCACCATAGTGCTGACGCAGCAGCTTTGCTCTGACCATTCTCTAAACAACACTCCACACAGCACACCTCATTCTGGAGCCGAGTCACAGATATTCTCTAATCGTATGTGCAGCCCTGGAGCTGATTGGCTGCTTTTCCCAAATACTTACATTAACAACAGACTCTTTGAACTTGATGTGGAGGCGATAATTGGACATTGCAATGATGGCGTCCTCTGCTCTCCCCACATACTCTGTGAACTCCCCATGCAGCTCGGGAAAGGGCACCTAGCAACAGTCGGAGATAAAACATGTCACATAAGCTGCAGAGCCACAACGATCAGATCAGACCAGCAGTTACAGCTGCACACGGGCTGCGTGTTTACCTGCAAACACCAGGAAGCGCCATTACTATTTTTACAATGGCAGGAATTTAGCCACCTTTAGCACGAAGAAGCTATTTATTCCTATGTGTGTGTGTGTAAGAGAGCACACACCCACATTCATCCCGGTCACCCTCACACATGCTAACCATTTACAACAGACACTAGCACTAGCATAGCAGGTGCCTGTAGCTACATCAGTTACAGAGTGGAGACTCCCTCCAGTGTCACGTTAGCTAGCTGCTCTCCCTCTGTTGTATTTCTGTTTTTCAGACTCCGGGTGATCAGCAGCTGCCTCACCTGCATGTCTTCCTCCTCCAGAATGGGGGACTTCTTGGGGAAGATCTGATTGGCCTGGATGCACTCCAAGCTCTGCTGGACCTGCTCCTCCTACACACAGAAAATAAAACTGTGATATTCATAGAGGAGCTGGAATTAGACTCAACTTCCACAAGCACACTTTGGACGTGGCCGAGTGTTTTCTAATCGCTCTTCTCCTGTTGATCTTTAACAAGCTTCTGTTTCAGCGTTAACGCAATCATCTTCGCCACCGCATACTCAGACTCATGCTCACGTGATGTGGAAATAGTCTAAGTGTCACAAACTGTTATGACTGCTGGATAGAAATCAGCTTCCCTAATGTTTAACTCCATTTACAATTACCCGCCCTGGTCAGACGGACCATAGTAGCACATCCTGTGTGATGCTAGCTCAGCATTAGCAAGGGCAGAGTCCAGTCCTGAGCCCGAGTCTTCATGCTTCAGGGTGTTTCTACGGTGGAAACTGAAAGCTGCCCTGCTTCAGCTGCGTCCCCAGCTGACCTTTGACACGTTCAGATTTGACACAGCCGTCTGCTTCCTGATAAACAGCTGATGGAAAGTGATAATCGATGGACAGTTCGGATTTTACAGACTGCATTCAGGCCAAGGGACAAAGCAGTTACCACACCAAACCCGTTAGTAAAGTAAAGACAGTACCATGGCCCCGCTGAAGGAGTGTGGGTCAGCCAACAAGGAGCTCCGACTCAAATCGGCCTGCAACAACAAACAACCCCAGCGAGTCAACAGTGCTGATACAATTAAAGGATTTCTTATCTTTGAAACTAAACATTTTTTAAAACAACAGTTTTCCCCATGAGCTACAGGCAAGATGGTGCACAACCAGAGCCACTGCTAATGTTACTGTTAATAAAGCTAAAGATGAAAATGCTAGAACGACTTAGCATGAATTCTCTTCTTTATTTAGCAGCTTTACTCTATAAAACCACTGACTGTAAAGTCTATTTACTCAGTGTTCTCCAAACCCCGGTCCTCAGCGCAAACTGTCCTGCATGTCTTCCACGTCTTCAGCCCACCCGATTTACATAGTTGCATTGACTCCTCAGGAGAACATCAGTGCTGCGGAAGCCCGGTAATCACTCATTCAACAAGTCGGGTGTGTGGCAGCAGGGAAACTCTGGTGTTTGAAAGAGCAACATGGAAAACACGCAGGACAGTGGGTGCTGGGGACCGGGATTGGGTAGCACTGCTCTAACGTAAATAAACGATGATCTAGGAGTTGTGTTGGCTCCACAGCTGTAACACCCACTAGTCTCAGTTTTCCTAATTCAACCCGGACCTGGAACCCCTCTGGCATACCATCCATCTTCTCTCTGAGGCCCACCACTAAAACATGGGCACAGAGAGATGTAAAACATTTGCACAATTAAAGTTCCTTTCTTGTTTCCAATTATTTCCAGAGAAATTTTAACTGTTTTTGTTCAATTCAGTAATAAAACATCTGAGATGTTTAAAAAAATATCATCTGGCTGCAAGAAGAAAAGTAAAATGCAGATAAAACCTGAAAATGCTAAAACTAGGGATGCAACGATATAATCCAAACCGATACGATACCGATACTTGGATCTGAGTACTCGCTGATACCAATTACAGATACCGAAACCTCTACCACACAAAAAAATGCAATGAATTGGAATACAGGTTTTATTTTCTTCTCTGCTTTCAATAGGAAAATAAAATATATTAGTAGAAATGATCAAAAACAAAAATATTAGGTGAACAGAAATGACAGTGAAGCCACTTTCAGGCAACTGCATTGGTATCGGTTCCTGTTAATGATTACCTTTCACCAATACTGGTATCGGCCTGATACCGTGCATCCCTAGCTAAAACCTTCAGGCGGATCCAGTACTGTTCTATACTTGATATAAAAACAAGCAAATGTTTCGACACTCTAAAGGATTTGGTCCTATCCGGAGCTGATCTCACGCTACACATCTAAGAGCTGGTTGGTCGGAGCGGGCCTGGTGAGGAGCAGAAACATGAACTAACAGAACACCAGTGTGTTTGTGTCAGCTGCAGGCATCAAGGCTCGTTCAGCAGCAACAAACAGGATTCTAATCCTCACATGACTCTGCACTAACAGCAGCTAAATAAGAGGAGGATGCAAATAGATTTCCCAAATCCTTCCAAAGAATTTCTTTTGGAAATATCATACCTCAAGGTAAACGGGATTACAGAAAAAACAAACGAATAAACAATGAAAGAAAACACCAGAGGCCCTAAGCTGCAGCAAATTAAAACCAGTAATTATGTGGTAGAAAACTCTGCAAGAGCTCAGCGACTCTCTGAAAACCAGTCAGAAAATTTTATTATGTACAACAAAACTAAAATAATAATCCAAAGATTATCCTGCTTCATTTGGACGATGGTGTGAACCAACGTGCCCAAAGACGTCCTCTCCAGGTAATAAACTGACTTGAATGACCAGGTAAAGGTAAACATGACCACATTTAAACATCTATTCAATATGGCAGCCTGAAGCACCTCACAGAGACAGCTACAGACACTGACGGCTGCAGATGGCCCAGATACAGTACAACACTTACTGCAGAGTATCAGCGGTGGACGGTGTTACTCCTGTTGATCCAGTAGGGAAAATCTCACAAGCAGGACATGAAAATCTGTGGAAATTAAAATGCATAATGAAGAAAAACCTTTCACTTTGAAACATCCTCATACCTTGCAAACAGAAGAAGCCGTATTTATAGAGATGCAGGCTAGAGAAGCCCCTTTGATTCCCTGGCAAAAATAAATGTAGTGGTGATCACAGCGGCGTGCGCGTGAGCTGAGACACCACCAAAGTCAGACCCAGAGAAGCCTGCTGGATATCACGGATGGATGTGAAAGCAGATCGTCACAGAAAACCAAACAACTTTCATATCTCGTCTTCAGGGTGGTGATGGAGAGGTGCATCCAAAACACCAGCAGCCCTGGTGAAGTCCTGCTGCCACCAGAATCCGTGGCTCCTTTTACCACAACCCAACATCTTTTAGTGTTTGAACTCACTAGATTAGTATTTTTCAAGAATGAGATGTTAATGCTTTCTAAAGTAAACTGTATATAAAGTCTTTTCTCTACATGGTCTGTTAGGAATATCTCAGCGCGCTGCCCAACAAATGGTTGCAAAGGTCATCTGCTCCTGCAGAGACTGAAACCTGAGCTAAAGAGGTCAGTGGATGTGGCAGCTCGGGAGAACAACACATCTTTTCATGAGTCCGAGACGAGTCCTTACAAACAGACACAATCCCGTCCAACTCAACGAGAGCTGGGTCCTGACGCTCGGCCTCGGCTCTGCCGCCGCCTGATAAGGCCTATCTGTCCCACTCACGTCTCTGTTTACAAGCCTACGAGCGGAGTCTGGCTGACTTCACGCGGAGGGCTAAGCCTGTAGAGCTACTGCTGTCCGTGACAGGCTCCGGGCTCTACATATGGTGTTAGCATGCGCAGCACCACTAATGATTAATTTTACTGTTTTACTGGCAGTTTGTTGCTCTAATAATAATAATAATAATAATGGTTGCGTTTAAGTGTGAAGACAGCTGAGATAGCATCATCTAACTAGCTAGCTAGCTAGCTGTTACAGACTGGAGAGAGCCAGCAGCAGTGGTGGTAACATCCTATCAGAGGAAACTCGGCTGCGTTCGCTGTAGCTAACGTTAACGTCAACAGTTAGCATGCTAATCTTCAGCAACATTAGCATGCTAAGGCTTAAATGTAAGTGTTATTAGGATTTAAAGTAGCCCTGTTAAGTACGGCAAGTCGGCTCCTATCAGTCGATGTTTGTCATTAGTTGCTGCACCGCACCACACCACAGCCCAGCAGAGCAGCGCCGCTCTCTGCAACTGTTTTTGTTATGAGATGGAGGGCGGACCCCGGGACAGAGGCCTCTGTCAAAACACACCGAAGGCTCGCCACAGCCGGTGAGACTCACCCGTGAAAGGAGCGAAGTGGTCAGAAGCTCGCGATTCACCCGAAGCCCATGCAAAAACTCAAAAGGAAACTGCTCTCAAACAAACGGGAATTAGTCATATCCGAGCTGAAGCCAGCCTCAGTGCGTCCTCTTCCAGCGCCGAGTCTTCGTCGCCATCGCCGCCGCGAAATCGCCAGCCCAACAACATTCGCGCTTGTGACGCAACGTCGTCAGTGCGACGCTGCGCGAGGGGGCGGGGCTCGAGCAGACCACGCGGTCCGATCATGTAAACACTGGATGGGGTTTTCCCCGGTTTGCCGAAATAACAATGAGACCGTGGCGCTGTACACACACTAAAGCGAGAGGAAGGGGTTGGTATTTTAGCATCCATCTGTGGTGAATCTAAATGTGAGCATGCCTAAAGAATAAAGAAATAACACGACACAGCAAGAGCTTAGTGATGTCTGACTGATGGCTTACATAGGTAATTTTATTTCCCAGAGGCTTGACATACCATTGTTCACTCGTTAACATTTGACAGCCTAACACGTGAGGCATTACAGTAATTTCAGCCTGCAAGTCACTTCTTTATTTGCTCTCCGCTGACTTTCAAAAGACGTTTTCTCCTTTAGGTAACCTCCCACACCCAGCGTGTAAATGTCGTCACAGTCCCAATCGCCCTATTCAAATTCCGCTGACTACCTCCATCATAATTTAGTGACCAATGTCAATTGTTAAACCCATTTTATGTGTATAGCTCTTGTAACAATATAAAAAAGCTTAGCTTTTTCTGAACTGAGATACAAAAAGTCCCACACCTCTATGATCACACTTCACCACTAAACATATCTGTGAGGAAAATGCATGAGGCATATGATATGGCACAAAATTATTTGGGTTTAAATAGTAAACTGGAAGCCATCTTTAAAAGGTCATCGTTAACTTCCGGTTTTCAAAGAACTGCAATGACTTTGCAAGAGCCATAATTATCAGCTGCACCATGCATGGACTTCACAGTTGTAAAAAGACCTTAAGTGCTGAATCAATGTTCCTGTTCAAAAACAATAACACAAAAAACAGTCCATCACCTTGTCATGAGACCAGAATGACTTGCATGCAAAACAATTAAATGAGCTTTACATGAGAAGATGATGGTCAAGGTAAATACATTTCTTTTTCAGTCAGGTATCTATTACTATAAAAGACAATGAAGTTTTCACATAAGAAATGCCACTTCAAATCATACAGCATATTATGCACAAAATATGGTGGTAAGAACGCTAGCTGTAAAGAATCTGTAGCTCCAGTAGTGAACTAAACAGTGTTTTAGAGAGCAAGTTTACAGATTAAAAATACCCATCCTCCTCTTCCAGGCAACTCCAGTCTACACGCATCTGTGATGAATTACAAAACTGCATCAAACCACTGTTCTACGTGACCGCTGAAATGCTCATAACCATCCAACTTCCTCGTGATTATTTACTAAACGGTTATAACATAGTCGTTCCCTACATCAAGTGTTTATTGTAATCACCGCCATCACTGGCATGAGCAATTGTTTCAATAAAGCTTTAAAAAGCACGACTACCCTGAGAGAAAGGTCTAAACCCATGGGCAAGCCTGCCAGACAACAACTGGCTTCGAATGGGTCTGGTTTATTAAATCTGTACACTCTATTTTTATTTTAATATTTTCAGCACGTTTTGTCCCAAGAATGTAGGATATTATTCTTTATAATTGTGTAATATATACCTCTACATAATACAATCCAAGTTCTCTGACCTATGTAGACATGTGCAAGAGTTAACTACCAAATTCAGCAATACAGTGAAGGCAAAGACTTGTGGACACTAAGGAAGGATAATGTTGATATTTGAATTTTTCTCGAGTCCTCACAATTATCAAAATCTAAGTGCTGTACGTACTTCATACACGAGGTATTGAATATCTAGTTAACTGTTCAGAGTTTCAAATAGAGGCAAAATACATAAAGAACATCTTGCAAGCATGACAAAGAAACTGCTACAGACACAATACACGAGTGGTCAAAGGTCATATGAGGGGGTGGTCTTTAATATAATGTAACTACAAAATAAATGTCTTCAGGTTGATGAGGTCATACTGTAGGCATCATGCTTTTAAATGGATTGAGCTTCAGTCCCAAAGTAGATCAATGTACACCACTTCAGCGGCACTGAAAGTCCAGCTAAAGCACATTTCAGTGTTTCAGAACGGAGTTTTTTCCTTTAGTCAAGTGAAGTTTGTCATTTTTTAGCAACAATAGTAGATTTATTTCACGAATCAGGTCAGGTGTTACCTGGGAGGATCGCCACACATCCATACAAAAGGGAACGCTTCCTCCACGTTTTCGATAAAGAGCCAAATCAGTCGCTCTGCTTTGTGTCCCGTCTCCTACGAGTCGGGTCCCACCGGAGGCGCGACGCAGGCCACTTTCACCCCGTCCATTCAAATTAGCATCGGTCATGTTTATGTTCATGAAATGCGCGGTCATAGCGTGATGTGCACGAACCTAGTCTGAGGTAAAACAGGTGTCCTGTGTCTCGGCCTGAAGAGCAGTGCCTTAGAGGGTCAGAGAGGTCAATCTGAAAGAAACCGTGTAAACTGTGCTCAGGTGAAGTGACTGTTTCACTTCCTAGCAAAAGCACAGGGGCACTAAACTGTAAACCTTAAGAATCATAAATAAATAAAAATAAACACCTAACATACTTTAGTGTTAGCTTTAACAAGATCTTTTTTCCCCTTCTTTTTTTGCAGGCTTACCAACTTTTTGTTGTTCGCCCCTTTTTGTTTGTTTTTGCTCAAGTATATTCACAGGTGACTAGCTACAGGGAATAAAAGGGTCAGGTGAGTACCATGCTACATCAGATCTCAGAGAAGGCTATTGCAGACAATCCTACAACATGTACAACCACATTTTATACGTGTGACTTACAAATAGTTCAAAACATATCACCAAGAAACTAAGTACACACCGGATGTTGAATATTTAGAGTCTTAAAGGACTATCCCTCAGTCAATAATTGGATTTCATGTTACTTGACTTAAACTGTCCAGTCTGACAGACAAAATTTGAAAAACTGCTATTCAAAAAGTAGCAAATTTGGTCAATGTCCCTTTTCAAATAATAATAGTGCTTTTAATGGCTTAAGACAGAGGTCTTTTTTAATCTCACCAAGTGGCAATCTTCAGAACTTCAGTGTACATTTTATGACACCATTAGCTGCAAAAGTCTTCACATCAAGTCCAATAGGTCACACAACAGCTAGCGCCGTCACATTGTTTTCAAAGGAGTATGCATTATCAAAAAAACAAAACTAAACTAATACATTTTTATAAATTTTCTCAATTCTTAAATTATTGTAGGAAATTCAGATTTACATCTAAATCTTATTTCCCATTTCCCGTGAGTCTGGGTGGACGTGCCGTCGGTAGCCACGTCTCTGTAGGAAGCGTCTATCTGGACTTCCTGTGTAAAATGAAGGTCGTCCGCACCAAACACAGGAAAAGAGGACTTAAAACTCCCATTCCAGAGTTTCTTCTCGGTTAGCTGCTCTCTCTAGCCGGTGGATGATGTTATTGAGGTTGGCCATTTTCTCATTACGTCTCTGAGTGTTTCTGTTGAGCTTAGGGCTTTGGAAGGGAGGCAGAAGGTTCGAATCCAGGCTGTGATTGGTGCTGGTTGAAGGATTGGGCAGTGAGGGAGAGATGGGAGCAGAGGAAGATGGAACAGGTGAGACTGACATCATGAGACCAGGTGACGAAGCAGCGGAGGGGGAGTTGAGGGACACCTCTAGGCTGCTACGACATGGCTCTGACGACGACTTGAAGCTGACTGGGTCCACAGGCGATGTTCCAGACTCCTCACCTTCACGCCTGGACTGGCTGGCTCGCTGAGGACCATCCATGGAGCCTGTGCCAGGGTAGAGTCCCTGAACCTGGCTACTCACCCGCTCATCCTGCATCAGGCTCTGGCCGGCCGGGTGGGACTCGCGGCAGCTTGTGACCGAGTCTTCGTGCTCACCTTTCAAAGGGAGGAACGGTACAGCTGTGGGGAAACACTGAACATCTGATTGTTTTGCAGAAACCTCCCTGCCCTCCGACCCATCGTCCTCCCTGCCCGTTGCCTCCTGTTTCACGTGAGGCTGAGTGGTGTTGGTGCTGGAGTTGACGTGTCTTGGGGGCTGCTGAAGCCTCCCGTCCTCTCCCTCAGAATGGGGACTCCGAGTCACCGAGGGGGAGTAGCTGTGATGTTCAGCGTCTGTGTCGTTGTCTGGAAGACCCTCCAGCAGCACCTCCCGCCGCATCCTGGACCTGCGTGCAATCAGTGCTATTAGAACGTCTCTTACCAATGAACTCTCTACAGATACACAGAGGTTTGTAGCAACAGTAACAAACAGCCATCAGTAGAGATGCTAAAGAGGAGTGAACTGGCCTGTAGTTGTGGAACCAGTTGATGACGGTGTTGGTTTTGAGGTTGAGCTGTGATGCCAGCATCTCAATGGTGTTCTGAGAGGGGTAGGGCTCTTGCAGGTAGGCCTTCCTCAGGGCTTCCTTCTCCTCAGCTCCCAGCACCACCCGGGGCTTCTTCGCCTGGCTGAACGGGCACAGGTCCAGCGAGGTCAGGGCAGGACTCACACACGCAGAGCGAGTGCTGGGCGAGTCACTGTCGGAGCCGGTGCTCAGCAGTCCGTACCGCCTCTTCAGGTACGCTGCAGAGAAGACAACAGTAGCAGGTGGGATTAGAAGACACCAGCATGTGACGAATACGACAGAAGGCACTTTGAGTCCCCACCTTTTTTCTCCATCTTCTTCATGGTCCTCAGCTTGTCTACATTGTGAGGATCGTTGAGCCAAAGCTGCATGCGGACAAAAGGCTCCCGGCCCTTCAGGCTGAGTTTGTGCCAAGGTTTGGGCCTGGAGAGCAAGTCTGATACTGAACCTTGAGTCAGACCCAGGATGGTTTCTCCAAAGAGACGTTGGCCTGTGGCAAACAAGCGTTAACAAGCCTTCATTAGACTGGTGATCACTGGAAAAGCCAGCTGGATTCCACAGTGAACGCTCACACCCACCAAGGTTGTTATCCGTTAGCACCTCCTTGACCTTCTTAGTGATGACATAGGTGTCCAGCTCTGGAGACATGGCCACCAGTTCCTGGATGCCCAGAGGGTTGGTGGGCTGATGCAGGGTCATGAGACTTGGAGCGGACTTTTCTCCTTCCAGGCGGCTGGTCATTCCCGCTCCAAGGCTTTCAGGCTGCTGGTTCTCTTTGCTGCTCTCTAGGGAGACACTGACGGTCTCCACCAGTGGACTGGGGTGACTCTCAGCTGGACTAGGGGGTGGGGAGGGCGAAGACTGGGCTGTCACTGGGCTTTTATCTGGAAACAGGACATTTAGGAGGGTTTATACCAAAACCTACCTTTCTGCCACACATTTAGAAGGCTGTACAAAGACGGCCTTTCTACTTGGACTAGCCTCGAATGCCCTGTCCTAGACGCGTGTGTTTAGTGAGAACAGAGGCTCACCCTGAGTCAGGCCCTGGCTGGGGGGTTGGTTGAGGGTTTGACCGAGTTGATCCAGTAGCCACAGCTGCATGCGGATGAAGGGCTCCCTGCCTTTCTGAGTCAGCTTGCTCCAGGGTTTTGGCCGTGACAACATGTCACTGACGCTGCCCTGAGACAGTCCAAGCACCTGTGCCAAACAGCCAGAACAAAATAAACGTTTTAGCACAATAAAGTTCATTAAATGGGATTAAATGCTCCAATGTTTCTCTGGAGTCAGCTTTAGTGATACACTTTCATTAAACCACCACTAGAGGGAGACATCACGCCATTAATATATAAATGATAAGCATCTTCCATTAAACCGAAATCATAGCGTAGAAATAGGTTTTCATCTGTTTTAGCTCTAATAAAGCTAAACATAATAAAGTTTGTTTTAAATGTGAACGTTTAGGGTTAGGGTTTACGTTGGCTTAAACAACCTCCTCTGTTTAACTCATTTTTCTTTAATCTGGACTCAACATACAATCTTCTTAAGTTCTGGTGCTTTAATCTGGCCCTTTAGGAGGAACCCTAACGGGCCACTGCTCACCTTCTCACCAAAGATCCTCTGACAGATGCCGTTCTTGGCCAGCTTCTCCTTCACCTGCCTGGTCAGCTCTATGGTGTCCACCTCTCGGTACATGTACATCTCATACTGCTCTGGGGTCAGGGGGGGCACGGTAGGCTTTAGGGCACGGGGAATGTAAGCCGGGTAATAGGAGAGGCGTCCCGAGCCCGGTCCCGGAGACTCACCACTCACCGAGGTGTCAGACTCGACCTTCACCTCCACAGGTCGGCCCAGGTCATCCTCCGCATTTGAGGCCTCCTCGCTGTTGAGAAGGCAATCACCGTTCTCCAGACGTGGCCATGACCGCGGCAGGCCAGAGGGCCCAGAGGAGGAGGAAGACAAGGAGGGTGAGACTGAACTAAAGGGCCGGGAGCCTCCTCCACCCCCAAGCACCATGGACCCCCGCTCCTGAGACCAGTGCTGATCGAAGTAGGTCCCCGCTTCACCAATTTCCGATTTCACTTTGCGAATTATGTTCTGGACGAAAGCAGCCGGGGAGAGGACGCTGAGCGGGGTCTGAGGGCTGCTGATGGAGTTGGCCATGCACACTGTAACGCAGCCCCCCTCCTCTTGTTTGATGGAGATGGGCAGAGAGAGGGCCCTGGAGCGCTCCGGGGGCCCCAGACGTTCAACCTGAGCTCCTGAGCTGTTAGTGGAGGACCTTCCACAGGCCTCCATCTCCATCAGAGCGTGCTGCTGAGCTTCCATCTCTCTCCGGGCCTGTTCTAGTATGTTCTTTATGGTTTCATCAGAGCTGCTGCCCGTGCCATTGCTGCTTCTGCCAGACGAGCTATTTAGAGATGCCTTTCCATCACCTGTACAAAAAAATAAATAAATAAAATAAAAACCACGCTGACACCGGCCCACCTTTCAAACTCAGATCCATTAACGTAGTGATCATGAAAGATACTGAAAATTGTCAATTAAATAATAAAAATCAATCGATGAAGCTTCGCTGTGACTTTTGGCACACAGCCTTTATTCTTACCGCCCCTCTGGGACTGGATCTCCTTCTTGGCCTGCTCTAGGATATTTCTAATGGCGTCGTCTGACCCAGTTTCAGGAGTTCGGATGCGTGGAGTGATGCTCCCTGCCACAGAGGGTAACAGAAAGAGATAGAGAGAGGAGGGGGTGAGTGGGATGGTTGATCAGAGAGCAGTTCCAAGGCTTTGCTTTTGACTGGTAGATCAATGGGTGCCTTTGAGCGCGTGCTGTCTGAGGTTGCAGTATACGGGAAGCTCAACTTTCAAATGCTATAAATCTAGGGAGAAAACAAAGTTTGAAGGTAACACTATAAACATGGCAGAGGAAGCTGTGAGGATGTCAAGGATGTGGACCAAGTAGATTATGAGGTTTACACCTACACACATCTGGAAGCCAAGAGGAGATGAGCGTTCCACAAACTCAGAGCACAATCAGATGGAACTCATTTGAACACCTTTCTCATCCACACCTTTATTCTGTCAATGCTTCTTGGGTCTTGACACTCACCCCTCTGTCGAACCTGGATGGTCCTAAGAGCCAGGATGTTCTGTTCATCTGAGAGGAACTGCTTCATCTTTATAAAAGGCTCTTTGCCTTTCACGGTCAGCTTTCTCCACGGTTTGGGTCTGGCCAGGATTTCACTCACAGAGCCCTGGGAGAGGCCCAGAACGTAGTGGCCAAACACTCGCTGGCCAATGTTGTGCTTCAGCAGCTGCTCTTTCACCTGGAAGGCGATCTCTCCCGTGTCCAGTTGGTCCTCCTCTCCTGCAGTTGAGCTGCCGCTTTCTGACTGGTCACTCGGCAGGCCGGCGTCCACGGCACAAGCTCCCACAGAGCCTTGAGAGGTTGACAGGAGCGCAACTTTGGCTGCATAGAGGGCGGTGGGGAACGCCATGAGGCTTTCCTTTTTAAAGTGTGGGGACAGGAGCTGCTTGTGAAGGACGTGGTCCCCTGACAGGCGGTCTCCAGAGCTTGGTGATGCAGAAAAGGGACGGGGGAGATCGTGGCTGAAGGTGGAGCCATCCAGGACGGGGGGACCCGGGCTTGGTGAGGCATGACTGTCTGCCCGAGAGGAAGATGAATGGGATCCAGGAGGTCTGACCGTCTCCCTGACTGGATCCTCAGAGTGGTCATCATCTGAAGGTGGAAAACAAATTCTCACTCACGTGACTTGTTGCTGATTTTGTGTAAAAGTACAGAAAAGAAAACAGACTCTGTGTGGTCAGCTCACACACACACACACACACACACACACACACACACACACACACACACACACACACACACACACACACACACACAGTTATGCTGTGAACTGGGAGGAGCTTTAAGGACTGCCTCCAAACTCCCAACCTTGTGCACTAAACTAATTAAAGTTATAGAAACTGAGAGACGTTGTTTGAAGCGCTCCAGAGACAACCATCTTACCGTTGCTGTGCACGAGTCGGCTCTTATCTCCTAAGCACTTGTGAGATGGAAGAAAGGCCTCTTTATTCAGCAACAGAGTCTCTGCAGCTTTTGCAGAATCCTGTCAACACACACACACACACACACACACACACACACACACACACACACACACACACACACACACACACACACACACACACACACACATATTTGATCAACCATTTATACGAGTAACTAAATTCAGTGGCACAGCAGTTTTTCACAAACAATAAAGGTTTTGATTGGTAGAAGTACTACTAGTAAAACTAATAGTACAATTCATAGTAGTACTACTAGTTTTCTTAAATTTACTATGTGAACAGGAGTGTGTGTACCTGTGATAAGTTGCCATTTGTTGAAGCCATCTTCATAACTTTTAGGATACTATAAATACAGAAACATGGTCATATTAACAGATCTTCATTCTTTTTATTACCAATAATTATAATAATAATAATAATTGATGTATTCACCTGAGTTCAGTTTTAATCTCTTCATAATCCAACTGAGAATGTAGTTTAGCCTCTAATCTCTGGTAGAGAAGAAGAAACGGGTTTGGACTCATTTAACTCAGTTACTCATTAACGTCTCACATTCGAGGCGCTCACCTGTATCGTCTCTGTTTTATAGGCCAGCTGGCGCTCTAACTCTAGAATCTGATTGGCTGAGGATTCCTGAACCTCCTGCAGTGTGAACTGAAGCCTCTGAATGTTTTCTAGAAGACGAAGGATTTCACGGTCTTTGGCCAACAAGGCGGCCTCCAGCTGGGCAGGCAACACGTCACCTCTCTCACTCTTCTCCTGCAGGCACACAGACGTTTGCAAAACCGGGCGTAAAAGAAACCTAAATTATATGATCAAGACTGCAGGATGAACAAAGAAAACAGTTGAAACGAATCTTCTGTGTTCACTGTTCTTCACTTAGTGCTGAACTAATCTGTGGGAAAGCCCAGGTTTGCTGCTAGAGGTGGGATTTCCCAGAAGAAACACGATAAAAACATTTCAGTCATTTCCATCTTTGTCTGAACTCTGGCTTTGTACGGATGAGGAAATAAAAAGAAAGTAAAACAATAAATGTAAGAAGGCATCAATCGGTCATTAGACGTGCCCAAAGACTGAATTCCAACTTCAAGTTAAATCCTCAGACAGCTGAGGAGGAAAATACCTCGCCAGTATGTTACCCTTACCGGAGAGATAAAGGCTCGTTAGTAAAGTCACATTTGGATCACTTTACTTTGGTTAAAGCCAAAGCTGCTCAAACTGCAAATACTGCAAATACGTGTTTGTTTCCAGTCTGCAGAACGACGCTTTAACCATGTTAAACAGGATTAAGCATATTCTGACAATGACCCAATACGTTTGTTTATTCCACCAATATACATGCAGGTGAGTAGAAAGTACCGGAACATTTCTCTGCAGCGCTACTTCCTGGATGGTAACTTCCTGGAAGTTGTCCCATTATTCTTACTTTAGCAGTGGCCTCTGCAGGATGGCAGCTGCCCGCGGCAGCGCTTGCGCTGCTGGCTAACTGCTCCTTTAGCCGCACCATTTCCCTCTGAGCCATTTCTGCTCTTTGCACACAGGAACGGTATCACCGTTTTCATACGCCAGTCCACATCAATTGGCTAATGAGATGATCGAGGCGAGAGCATGTACATAAATCAAAGGAGGTGCCCTCGTACAGGAATTTGAAGCCGAGGAAAACCGTGAGCTGGGGCCCAGCAGACGAGTGCAGCCACCAGTTTATTCTGCTGAAGGGGCTGTTTAGTCAGCCCACCTCATTCCCCAAACGGTTTACCTGCTCTGTCACACCCGGCCTGCTAATTAATGATTCATTTTGAGCACATTTATCTGGAAGCTGCTGGCAGAGTGAGAGTGTGAGAGAGCAAAGAGAGAGAGAGAGGGAAAGGCATAGAGAAGATGAGGCGTCACAGAACAGGAAGCAATCAGGGCTGTGAGATAACGAAGAACCATAGCGCTCAACACCAGGGCATCAATCCTGCTGATCTGAGCTGCGATGCCATAGGGTGCCCACAAACAGGGGCCCCAGTCTGCACTAATCAAACAATTGGGAGTGGGGGGGGGGTCTAATTACAGCCAATGCTTGATTACAGGAGTGATTACCCCACGAAGAGACTCCTCAATCAGATGCAGGTACAGCCAGACTCACCTGGTTTGCTTTCTCTAGATTAGCCATGATGCTGTCAACTTCCGCTGTCCTGCAAAACACACACACACACATGCACACACGCACACGCACACGCACACACACACACACACACACACACACACACACACACACACACACACACACACACACACACACACACACATGCACACACGCACACGCACACACGCACACACACACACACACAAAACAATGAAATTAATACTTCCATTCAGAATAAATCCAGATGCTGATGAAGCTGCCTCTTCATGTGACTAAATATGTTCAATTCATTACACGGACATTTTTACTTTTTAAATTAAAGGGGAACTAGGGAGTTTTGGCGTGCTTTTAGCGCCCCTTAGTGGGGTGTCAACCGAGGTGCTCACATCCCGACCGTAGCCGGACAGGCAAGCGGTCAGCATCTGTGTATGAGCATAATCAACATTCACGAAAGAACGCAATTCATTCACAGCGGAACTTGTTTTAAGCAAAATGTTGCTACGAGTGTTGAGTACCACCATAGTCTGGCATTCAGACGTGCCCAGCTGTCTTAAAGCACGTCGTTGTTGCAGTACCTGCGTTTGTAGAACCGAAACGAAAACGTCTCTCCTCGCTGTGCGTTTGTCGTTTTAACACCTTCATCTAACAGCTGAAACGTCTCCTAGCCTTCCTTGGTGTCCACAGGAGTGATTCATCACTAAATTTAACTATTCAGCTGTGTTCATAATCTAAAACATGCAGGAAACATGCAGGAAGCAGACTGCAGTGCCAGATATATCAGCTTAATTTTCCCAACAGAGCGGCCGCCAGCCTGAAGGTGCATGTGGGATATTCTGGCCACGGGGGCGATAGGGGCTGGGTGGCCTTTCTTTAACCCTGTAAAGGGTCATTTTTAGCACATACTGGCTCAAGAAAACGATTTAAAAATATGACAATGTTGCAGCGTATCCCTTTACATATCTGCAGAGCAAAAGTGTAAATGTTTGCACCTAAACGGGCGATCCTTCAGCTCAAATGATGCGATTCAAAACTACAATTTTCACTAAAAGTAAGGAAATGCATCTTTGCACAATTATCTGCTTGTTGTAAAAATATTTCTTGGAAACATATCTCATTCGACTAGAAAGTCTAATTACTCACATTGACTGTGAGGTTTACCATGATCACGCATGTGTGGAATGAACAGCTGAGAACGGCGACCTCTGCAGTATTCTCCTGTTGCTGTTCTGTTTTGATTTCAGATGCTTGGTGGACTGGATGGTTGAACATCATGTTTGGTCTCTGAGAACAACTCTGATCACCCGGCGGTTGAGTCTTTAATAACAGCTACATGTATTTACTACGAGAGGGCAAAGCTACACTTGGATACACGGATGGCTTGTCTCCTCAGAGGTCTAGAGACTGAACATCTAACAATCAGAGTGGTCTAATTCCAAACAGAAGCTCTTATGGATTATTCATGAGGTCTGTTTGAAGTTCAACAGTTTATCTTGCTCACGTGGGAGCTGGTTTTCAAAAGGTAGCTACGGATGAAATAAAGAGAATGCTGAGGTTGTTTTAAATATGCACAGAAATCTTCCAGCTTACGAGACCATGTTGGGTTTTGAAGAAAACTTTGCAAAACGCTTAAAACGTGTTAGACTTTTAAAATCCAGAGTGAATGGACAAACTCCAGCCCTGTCATCTGCTGAGCTCACTAAGGGCTTAGACCCTGTCAGCAGAAACTGAAACCAGATGTGTTTATGATGAGCGCGGAGCGGTTCTGGGATGTGCCCGGGTCCCACCGACAGACCAGGATAGATGGACTCCTCTGACACCAACATGTGGTGAGAAGCTCGTGCAGCTCAGACCGTGTTTTGTACTGATCACCTCCTCCGCCGCTCAAGTCAAACAGACAAATAGTCTTTCTTATCAACATGGAGGGAACCGTGAGTGAGAGTAATGGTCCAGGGACAGCTGAGCTAGAGATTGAGACCTGGGGTCAGCCAGAGGGTCTAAAGCATCATACTTAAAGATCCAGACCTGAGTTCATAAGGTCAAAGTTCCAGAAGCAGTGAAGCATTTTATTAAATACCAAATTCACTCATTTTTTCAACACATCTGCAGTGGTCCCTAGTATAAATGAATGCCTTGTGGGGTTTTCTTTGTGGGAAGAAAGCTCCGGTGCTCCTGATTCAGGAACTAGAAGTGAGCCAAAGCAGAGGGGAGTCTACAGGATTTAGAGTCTTATTTCCTGATCTTTGGATATCCCTACCACTGATTCTGTTTGCTCTGCATCGTTGATGTTTTATCTCTACAAATAACACAAGCCTGGAGGAGTTCTACTGTGTGGTAGAGTAGCTAATGCTAACAGTTGTAACGTCCAGCAATGGTCAGTTTTTAGGTACAGTTTGGCCACTCAACATCTGGTCAAAAAGGAGACACGAGACTGCACGTGTCCCCTTTAAATCAGCCTGCCTCCATCCCACCGGCTGGAGCTCGGAGCCTGCAGCTCTGAACACAGATAACAAAATGTCAACAATAACGTTTTCTCCTCGAGGTCCAATCTTTCAGGTCTTCATGCCTCCATATAAGGAGCACTCCAGCTCGGATCAGTTGCTAAATCAAGAATGATTTCCTAAATCAACAAGAACTTCTTCTACAACTTACAAGCTAGATAATCATTAAATAAACGTTTGTTTATTGCTACTTATAATAATTATAATATAATGAAATATTTCATTAATCTGTGCTCAATGATTGGAGTTTGAAATGAATGTCATGTTGTTTATATGGCAAGGTCATCACCATTTGCACTCACACAAGAACAAGTAAGGTTAAGTTGAACTCGTGACACATCAATAGTCTTTTACCATAGTCAGAGCCTCCATATCAAAGAAGGTGTGTTTCTGAGGTTGTCTTGGTAACCATTCCTCAACGTGTCAACCTTTGGTTGGCTACGCAAATCATTACATGAGAACATCAGAACTGGGCCACTCTCGGGTGATCTCTCAGTTCTAGAGAAAGCTTCAGACCGGCCACCTGAAGCAACATCCTCTCTAACCCATCAAAGATTTTGACTCGTCGTCAAAATCTTTTTGCACCCGCGACGCTGACACAGAAACAGTTCCCGCAGAATGCGCTGATATTGTTTAGACTCCTTAAAGAGTCCCAGACGCACGGTTCCATCCACTGTTGTGACCTGGAGACAACTCTAAGTCCGGTTTAGTGGGGCCGCAGTTTCTTCTACGGACCTCGGTACCTGGAAGTGCGAGGACTTTCGGATCTATCACGAGGGTCTTCGAGTGGGTATGTAGACATGACAGATAGCGTCTGATGTGTTTCGATAACAACCAACTTCATAGCTTAACACAAACCACATTCTTTTACATCCAGAACTCAGCTCTCTTCTACTAAAGCTTCTTCTTTAGCTTCTACTAGCCGAGACGTTCTCTGCTGTTTCCTGGACGCTAACCCAACAACAGCCTTCCCCGTCGTGAGTCGAGATGGGTGAGTCCATGAATGACAGTGCGACGTAGATCTGTCAGGATTTTCTAATGCGTCTATTTTCTATCAGCAGCAAATGCAGCAGATAGGGTAGGAGTCTTATCTTCACGTTTAGCCTGCACAGAAAAACTCAGAGTGGTTGATCACATTTTAAAAAATAACAAATAAATATCTAATTCTCAGTGAACTTGGTCTTTAAATTAGCCTAGAAACAGATAGTAATTCTGCAGGATTTCTGAGTTTCTTAATTGCTTTTAATCAGCTCTAGTTAAGCGATGCATGTTCCCTCTATGTTAAGAGTACAACACGGATAAACCTTGGGAGGATGGGAATTAATATTCTCTCAAAGCATGCAGCCTATTGATGTATAAAGACAGATACTGGCAGTAGCTCTGCATTCAATAATTTCTTACTCTCTGATGCCTGGAAGCACCTGAATGCCTTTTAGCCAGTTGCTGACTTGCTAATGTTGACATTAGCTGTCTCCATTGCCATGGTTACATCTTAATCTGTGACCATCAACAGTGATAATACAGAGACAACAATAAAACTCTAAAATAAATGATACTTTACTAAATGAATTAGCTATTGTTAAGAACATGAGCTGTTGGGTGGGATCTGGAACAGAGTCTGGCCTAAAGAAGGTGATCAGGACAGCGTACACACACACACACACACACACACACACACACACACACAGAGTGGGAACCACAGAGAAAAAACAGCTCCACGCAGAGGCAGAAGCCGAACTGAAAATGTGTCCAATCCAGCAAAATAGATGGCAGCGGCTCTAGAAACATCAGTTCAATTGCACCATGGATTAGGCCTGGGAGAAAATCCATTAGCCGCGGCTGACTGTGCTCTGGAGCACAACCCAAACAAAGGAGTGTTTACTTTGAAAGTCTATCGACATCCTTCATACAAGCTCAGATTCATTTCAGGCATGCGGTGGATACATTGCGCTCAAAGACCAGGACAAGGTAGAGTGTTTTCTGAAGCAATCTTTAAATGGGGCAATTCTTCTTGAGGGCTGTCAAGGCCCAGCTGCCAGCGAAGGCAAACACAGACCTCTCGCATCGACCTGCATTAGTGGCTGAGTCACTCTCAGCCCTCACAATGGCATTCCTCAGCTCTACACGGGCTGGACTAGAGCTGGGTCCACCCGGCCACGCCTGCAGGATGCACCAGCTCCACTCTCAGATTAAAAACGTTAATGACAAACGTAAAGTATGGTGGATGCTTACTTTTTCGCCATCTCCTGGTTGTATTTAGACCGTAGGTCCAGCAGCTCTGTCTGTGCAGAATTCAAAGCTGTTGAGAGGCAAACCGCAGGAAGTCAGATATTAACCTAAAAAACACATGAACTTTGACCTTAAAGCTACATCACAGGAGGATCTGGTGCTCTATTGATCATTCGGTAGTAAAACTGGTTGGTTGTTGCTTCAAAAGGGAACAATGCAGGCTTCTGAGTCAGACATGACTGTGAAGGTTATTTAGCGTATTTGTGTGTGAGCATGCCCGGTGGAACAAGAGTGTTTCAGCAGGGGGCGTCACTCTCCATACACATGGAACTACTTTTAGATAAAACACATTTAATTTAACAGCTACAGCACTTGCCAGTGTGGATGTATGGCCTGTCCACTGGTGTGTCCTCTGTTGTCGACTCGGCAGTGTCCGATCACTAATGCGTATTTTTTAACATCACCAGCGTTAACCAGTGCGGGCCCTCTGTGAGAACTGTGAGGAAGCGTCATCTAACCCCTGAAGTGGCTGCTGGTTTTCTTGAAGCTTTTAACAACATCCCTCCGCCACTTGTGATGCCGTTATCAATGATTTTAACAGAAGACCAGAGTCAGCTCTTAACCTGCTTGCTCCACTCAAAACCAAAAAATTACAATCAAATCAAAGATTGGAGAAATGAAAATCTAAGAAAACTAAAGAGAAACTGCAGAGTGGCAGAGAGAAAAACAAATTAACAATAAATCATCAGATGTATTTGGAACTGCTTAAAACATATAACAATGCCATAAGAAATTCCAGTAATGCATATTTTTCCAAAATCCTCTCAGACAATTAAAATAACCCTAAAATTATTTTCTCCACAATCAATAATATTCTCAACTCAGAAAACCCCCTCAAACACTCTTTGTGAGGAGTTTGCAGCCCACCTCAGAGGGAAGACGTAACATTTTATCCTCTCAATGTAACGTGGTTTTAGACACATCTGAGAGTGTGTGTCCACCAGAGGAAACACTGGACAGCTTTGTCCTGGCTGAAGCCGAGACTCTTGATAAAGTTTTCTCCTCAGTGAGACCAACCACGTGTGTCCTGGACCCTATTCCCACCAGGTTTTTTAAACGATTTTATGATTCTTTTAAAGATGAGGTTTTAACTATGAAGAATTGCTCCCTTCAGACGGGGGTCTTTCCTGCCACTTTTAAACGGGCGGTGGTGAGGCCCCTGCTGAAGAAGAACAATTTAGATTTTAATGATTTAAACAATTATCGACCGGTATCTAACTTACCATTTTTAAGCAAAATGTTCGAAAAGCTTGTTTTAATCCAACTCAATGATTTTATCAACACCCATAATGTTTTAGAGAAATTTCAGTCTGGTTCTAGGGTGAACCACAGCACCGAGACGGCCCTTCTGAAGACTTTAAATGATTTTAAAGTAAATTATGACAAACGGAAGGTGACTGTGTTGGTTCTACTGGATCTAAGTGCTGCCTTCGATACAGTAGACCACACTGTTCTTCCAACTGGATCGGCCTCTCTGGTGCTGTTCACCAATGGTTCACATCCTACCTCACAGACAGGACTTTAATGGTGAGTCTGGATACCTGTTCCTCTAGGGTTCATGGGATTACATGTGGTATGCCCCAGGGTTCAATTTTAGGCCCAGTGCTTTTTAACCTTTATATGCTCCCTCTTGGCAGTGTCATCAGGAGACACGGGGTGAATTTCCACAGTTACGCTGATGATACACAGCTGTACATCTCTGTGTCTCCTGATGACACACGGCCAATGGATGCACTTTTTAACTGCATTTTAGACATGAAAACCTGGATGGCAGAAAACTTTCTCCAGCTCAACCAGGACAAAACTGAAGTTTTAGTTATCGGTCCCGAGGCCCAGAGAGAGAAGCTTTTACCAAAATTACAATCACTGTCTTTTAATCCATCTTCACAAGTGAAGAACCTGGGTGTCATCTTTGACTCTGAGCTGACTTTTATCCATCATATTAAAAATATCACCAAAATAGGTTTTTATCATCTAAAGAACATCGCCAGAGTCTGCCCCATTCTCTCTCGGGTCAATACGGAGACGCTGATGCATGCTTTTATCACCAGTAGGATAGATTACTGCAATGCCCTGCTTTCTGGTCTTCCTAAAAAGAGGATTTCAGGTCTACAACTATTACAAAACTCAGCAGCACGTGTCCTGACGAAGACCAGGAGGCGGGAGCACATCACTCCAGTTTTAGAATCACTGCATTGGCTCCCCACATGTTTCAGGATCCATTTTAAAATACTTTAACGGTTTTTAAGTGTCTTAATGGTCTTGGGCCTTCTTAACTTTCAGAACTGCTTTTGCCGTATAAAACCACGCGGTCTCTGTGCTCCTCTGGCAGCCGTCTCCCTGTCATCCCTAAAGTCAGGACTCATATTCACGGCGAGGCGTCCTTCCAGTACATGTTTTCAGAAACAGGCTCAAGACTCATCTTTTTATCTTAGCTTTTAACTGATTACTATCACTTTTTAAATTAATTAATTACTTAGTTTATTTATTTATTTTATCTATTTATTTTATTGATTTAATGTATTCTTTCTTTATACGTGCTTTTTAAACAGTTTTTTTTAACCTTGATTTTTGATCAACATTATTTTAATATCTATATAACTTTTTATATTACAATTCTCATTTTAGCTCTTTGGATTTTATATTTTAACCTTAATTTAACCTTTTTCCAGTGCTTCCTCTGTGGGAGCCCCCTGCCCCGGCGGCGGCGGTCAGCTGTGGCAGCCTGGGTGCTTTTCATGTGTGCCTGGGTGGTGGTGGGGACCCGGTGTCAGTGCCTCGGCTGCTGCTGTGGATCTGCTGCTGTCAGGGTGGATGGCTCCCCTGATGGCGTTTCCTTATCCTCATCTTAGCTGATCTGGCTCATCTGATCTCAGCCAATCGTGTTTTTTTTTTTTACCATGGGGTAGGGGGCATGTATGTATGTGTGTGTGTGTGTGTGTGTATGTGTGTGTGTGTGTGTGTGTGTGTGTGTGTGTGTGTGTGTGTGTGTATGTGTGTGTGTGTGTGTGTGTATGTGTGTGTGTGTGTGTGTGTGTGTGTGTGTGTGTGTGTGTGTGTGTGTGTGTGTGTGTGCGCGTGTGTGTCGGTGGAGGAGTGTTGTGACAGGGTTTTTAATGTCAGACTGTTTTTTAAATTCTGGGGATGGGAGGGTATGTGGGGTCTTTTTAATTTGTTTAACACTTTAAGTTGCATGTATTGTAGGATTAAGTGCTATATAAATAAAGTTGTTTGATTGATTGATTGATTGATTGATTGATTGATTGATTGATTGATTGATAAAGCACTTACATGAATGCAGAACTTTGATCTTCTCCTTGGCCTCTGATAGTCTGTCAACCAAACTAACATCAGCGGCTTCCTCCTCCTCCTCCTCCTCCCTACGAGAACAAACTGTCAGTTCCTTCTCCACATCACGGGCACACATTTACAGCTACAATAAAGACCTCCAGGCTGGAGGAATATGTAAATGCCAACCTCCTCCCACTTAGTGAGGGCATGTGTGGTTGAGTTCACAAAGAGAAAAGCTCCATGTTTCATTAGCTCCTGTTTGAAGATTTTGGTGAGTACAGCCGTACAAGACAAACATGCTTTCAGTAAACTACAAGAGATCATTGTTGGCGTATCTGTTCAAGAGCTTTTCTTTTCTGTTGTTAAAATGTAAACATTTGAACGAACCCCTGAGGAAGGATCAAACACTTTTTTTCCCTGAGGTCACAAGTAACCTCTGGTTCTCACCGTTGGTCCTCTGCTGGCCCCTGATGGTCCTGTTGTGGGGAACTTGGGGCCCCAGGGGCCGATGTGCTGTTAGGGGTCATCAGGGAGACCGGAGGGCTGGATTCAGGGGCCTCCTCTGTCCCAGCTGGACTGTCTGCTGTGGACTCTGCATGGATGGAAAACACACTTATCACTTCAGTGCTTCTTCAGATACTCTGGTTTATCTCAGGTCACGGTGGACGTTCTCATATTCTGGACGCACCTTTCTTTTCAAGGCACTCCAGGTGTTTCTTCCAGTGCCCGCTGATCTCTCGTACCACGGCCTCGCTGTCCGGGGCCGAGCTTTGAAGCTGCTGCAGCCTTTCCTTCAGAGAGTGAGAGGCCTCCAGCACAGGAGCAGGATCTGTTCGGAACAGAAGGGATGTAAAAAAAAAAAAAAGGGAAAGGAAAGAGAGAAAACCTACCAGGACTCACATAAGAGGCACCGCCTGCTACTTTTCAAAAAAAGCTAAATAGCTGTTTTACGGCGTGCGCCGTGTAAAGCACATTGCAGTCTCAGCGCAGGCAGGCTATTCCACCGAGACTTGTTTCCAAAGAGTGACTTTTAGACTTTCCTCTCTCTGTTGCCTTTGAAATGTTCACAGGCTGGACCTAATGACACAAGTTCTGCTCAGACCCACGTGTACCAAAACCAAACCTAATGAGTCCTCCATCGTGCTGATGAACGGCAACAACACAACAAGATTACAATAAATACGTGACAGAGGCTTAAGTACCAAGCACACACCTAGGTAAAGTGTAGAAAAAGTCTGCTACTGAAAAGGGGGTTAAAAAAACGAGATTCTTTAGCACAACAGAGGAGCTGTTTTGCAATGCATGCACGGCAGCACAGGGCCCATGGGGCCAACTAGGAGGCTGTTTCTCAGCTAACAAGTCTCCTCTGTATCATTTGATCATTTAAATTATTATGCCAGGAATTCTCAGGAGGCAGCTCGGCACTCCACATCACAGGGCTGTTTTTAATCTTCCCCTTCCCTTTCTTCCCCTCCCGAAAAGTTCAACAGCTCTGAGAGAGAGAGCTGCTCCTGTTGTGTACCTGCCTGCCGAACACCAAAGGAGGTGACTTCTAGTGCCAAAGCACAGAGAGGGAAGCTCAGGGGAGCTCCTTGACGGGGGGAGGGGGGGCAAGATGTGGAGCCACACACACAGACACACACACACACACACACACACAGCCCTTCAAAACTCTGAAAGAAGAGGAAAATCGCTGCTTTGCTGCACAAACTTTTCTCCCACAGCTTTCATCCGCTCATCTTAAGACTTCTGTTTGGAACCCGATTGGATCCCTTCTTCCACATGGGCACTGACTGAAGTGACTTCTCATAAGAAGTTGGAGCCAAAGAGGTCTAAACTTTGCCAGATGCCACAGAGAGAACACAAACTTGGAGCTGGCAGACCACAAAAACAAACGCTCATCAAGCAGCCAGAGCTTCCACGGTGTGCAATTTGTTGAAATCCTGGTCGCACGTTGCAGCTCGCCATATCTGCATTTTCATCAGACAAAACAGTTTGGACCATTTAATTGATGAACTATTTTTCCCAGGATGGCGTACAGTCAAACACCGCCCGCGTTGGTTGTTACACCAGCTGTGGAGTTGTTGCATCAGTCACAGGGGACATCACTATTAAGAGCACAGCCCTTCTAAGACAAACAGGATGACTTAAAGCACTGCTATTCCATCAGCCCCCTGTCACAGAAATCACTTTATCAGCCTCTTTCCCATATATCCTTTCAACTTTTAATGATCAAAGGACAGAGATTATAGTAAGGGATCTCTCACACACGGACAAGCCGGGATTATCAATCAGTGGCTGGGGAGTCAAGTGAAGTCAAATTTAAAGTGAAGGGATATAACTTAAGTCTGTTTACAAAATGAACTCCCATCAAAGTGGAGCTGCTCTCCGAAGGGCCGACAGTCCAGGAAGACTGATTATAACTTCAGAAACTGTATGCGCTAATGGGTGTAACTAATAGGCATCTCTCTGACACTAAAAACCTAGAGCTTTCAGCTCCTAGCAGCTCGCTCAGGCTGGTGGATGACATCATCGTATCTATGAGACCAGAACAACCCGACCCTGAGCCCAACGACAAGCGTCTTTATGGTGCTTACAAAGTTAACGTGAGCAGGGTTGCAGCCATGACACCTAGAGATGTGTTAAGGTGGAACTGGCTTGTTGTTTGACTGAATGAACTAAATATGACAGCTTTCTATCAAAGGGAAACCTTAAATAAGGACATTTGATGTTCATTTGTACTTTAAAAGAAGAATTGTTGGATTCATTCATGTTTCTATATCCATCTATCCATCCATCCATCCATCCATACATAAATCCATCCATCTATCCATCCATCCATCCATCCATAAATCCATCCATCCATCCATCCATCCATAAATCCATCCATCCATCCATACATACATAAATCCATCCATCTATTCATCCATAAATCCATCCATCCATCCATCCATAAATCCATCCATCCATCCATCCATCCATAAATCCATCCATGTATTCATCCATAAATCCATCCATCCATCCATCCATAAATCCATCCATCCATCCATCCATCCATCCATCCATCCATCCATCCATCCATGATTTCATTCATTCATTCATTCATTAATGATTTCATTCATGATTTCATTCATCCACCAATCCATAAATTAATTGATTCATTCATTCATTCATCTATCTATCCATCCATCCATCCATCCATCCACAAATTAATTAATTAATTAATTAATTCATTTATCCATTCATCCATCCATTCACTCATCCATCCATCCATAAATCCATTCATTCATTCATTCATTCATTCATCTATCCATCCATTCACTCATCCATCCATTCATCCATCCATCTACCCATCTATCCATCCATCCCTCTATCTGTAGCGTACAAAAGGCCAAGTATTTCACCAAAAATGACTAGAAGTAAACCTTTAACTTGCAGGCCCGAACTAACTCTCCATGCAGGTCAGTCTGACTCCGGGGTGCCAATAGGACGAGAAGAACTGGTGTGCTACATCATATCTGTCTGTTCTCCAAACCAGAAAGGTACTGCGGTACGGTAACCTTGTTACCAAATAAGGAAGCCATAATAAGTCCTTCTCCTAGCTCCCTTAGCTGGAAAGCCAAGGTCTCATGCAGAAGATGAGACTTTTACTCTCTGAATAAAGCTTATCTTTCATGTCATAAATGACTTTAAAATGCCATATAATCATATTCTGATGGATGAACAATTTTTTAAAAACCAAAGCGTTTGATTAATGCATCCTATAGTTTACATTGTGGGTCAAACATTTTTCCTGTAATGGTTCATTTCAGATCTTAAACTACACCAGATCAGTAATTGCTGATTCTAGTCATTTAATCTATCAGTATGAACACAATGACATCACTATATGTTTAATCACTATATGATTATTAATAGTGTTTAACATTTTTGCTCCACATAACTATAACATTTTCACACTAAGAGTTCACCTCTAAGTATCTGAGTGAGGGAGTGATTCTCTGAGGTCTTTGGTAACGCCCTTTAATTTAGTCAAATTCTGATTCGTCTAAAATTGTCAACAACATTTAATAAACGCAATGATCACTTCCTGATCTGGTCAGTTCTTCAGCCACCTCCCGAGTAGGCTGATCGGGTGAGCAAGCATTTGGAACCATTCTCTCTTTTGGTCACAGTCGCTCGGCAACGCTTGCGAGTGATAGCAGACCAACAGCCTCAGAAGCAAAATAGATACGCCAGTTTCCTGCCATCACCTGGGGGATATCTCAGACTAGACGGGTCATGCTCAGAGCTAGATTACAAGTTCTGTTGTCCAGAGGTCCACGACCAGCAGTGTCCATCCTGAACTCTTGACCCCCTGGATCGTACGGGGACCTTCAACCATGGACGTAATTTTCACTTTAGAAGTGGGGAGGGGGGACATGGGGGGGGGGGGGTATCTTTACAGTATGCTCTAATGGGAAACGGGCTTCAACACAAACGATTGTTTTTCTGCTTGGTGCTAGAGCTCAACCAGTGTCAATTTAATATAGCGTAATGTTGTTTTTGGATGGTAAAAAGTGCAGGGGTCAAAACTTGACTTTGGAAAAAGTGGGGGGGACATGTCCCCCCCCCCCAAAAAAAAATTACGTCCATGCCTTCAACACAAAAGGGTGCGTAGACTCGGCCCACATGGCGTTGGATGGTTTTATGAATAATCTCTAGCTTATCAAACAATACAGCCAAACTGATTTTACAACCCAGACATCACAAGACCTCTCAGGCTCTTACGAGGTTCTGCTAAAAACATCTCGCTTACATTCCACCATTTCATTCATTGTCTGTTATTCTGTACAACCATCATTTCATTCATATGTTGTCACGTATAATCATTAGTTATCCATAATGTTTATAAAAGGCCAAACATCCCATTTGTTTTAGTGCACCCATAGTTACAATTATTAGTAATAAACAGCCACCATTAGGGCAGAGTGGTGACATGTCGTCCTCAGCAGACTGTGACGTGTTAAAGTCTTATCCAGCTAACTTGACCCAGATCCTGTTACCGTTGCTGAACAGACTCACATTCATATACAAACACTCCAACCACCGGATCCAGGGATCCTGATGCTTTTCCTTTCTTGTCCTTTTCTACAAAAACAGAATCATGTTGTAAAGTAAAATGTTCACAATAACACAATTAACACAACATTTGGACACCTCTGCATTACTGTTTTATGTCAAAGCTCTGGCCTAGGATCATGTCCTGTAGGGAGATGATGGAGTCGCTTTGGTCAAATCTGAAGCCTGTGACTGTGATCTTGTGCGATCTGTGACGAGAGTGTGCGAATGACTCCCGAGACCCAGCTGCCAGCTAAAAATCTGTAAAAGCCACACCTTCCTGTCTACCTTTTGTGATCGGCGTCGTGATATCAAACCGAAGACGCAGCCAAGAATGAAGTTTTATGACTGGACTGAAAAATTAGATCCTAACTTTTTAGAGTTTGCTGGACTGATGCAGAGTTTCATCACTTTGTCTGAGCAGTGGCGAGGATCCCACCTTGCTCCTGCAGCTGCCTCCTTTCTGGTCACCGTGCAGATCCCTGTGTGCTACTGCACATCTGTGGGCGGCTCAGAGGCTGGACAGCTCAGCAGACTGTGGGTGGCACCGTGGAGGACGCTGCACAGGTCCAGGTGGGGTGGAGGTGGACCAGCCAAGACAAGCAGGTGTGCCGGGCGGTCCGTCTCGGCCCTGTCAGCGATACACCATCATTACGCAGTGTGGGCGCAGTAGGGTGCACCATTATGTCTCCCTGGGCCCTGTGTAATTACGCTCCGACATAATTAACC